TATTAGGCAACTTGAAGAAAACACTTCCTGAAGAGACAAAAAAGCCTCGGGAAGAAGTGCTGCTTGATTCTGAGACTGAAAATGCAAGCAGTGGAGGAAAAAGAATGACTCTTGCCAGATTAAGGGAGTCATTCTCTCTCCACCAAACGGAGAGTAATTTTCAAAGCCCAAAAAGGGCAAAACAGCAGCACAGCTCCCCTAGACAACTGTCACTGGATACTGTTTTGAGTACTGTGAAGACTCGAAAGACTGCCTTGAGTGAGGAGTCTGAGAGTTGTCACGAGGCGGAGTCGAAGATGTCAATTCCAAACAGATGTTTGAGAAAATTAGAAGACAATACAGATTCTGGATTCTGTAGCACCTCTGAATCAGATGTTGGATATAATACAACAGAAGCTGGGAGCTGTGTCAATAGTGAAAGTGTAATTAATCCTCCTGAAGAAGAATTCTCTAGCTCAGAAGAACAACTTCAAAATGAGTGTCATAATACTGCTGGACATAGTGAGAAATCATTGGAATGTGATGTTCAGGTCTCGGGCAGTGAACTTAAGTTAAATAGCATGAATGACTGGAATAATCAAAGTAACTTATCTCTGGAAGCGGGTAATTCTTCCCCAAGAGGAACATGTTTTAAAAGTGAGTCAGGTGACTTCAAGGCAGGTGTACTTCCTGACATGAAGAATACTGAAAACTGTATGCCAACTGTTGATGTACCAGTGGAAGTTAAAAAGAAAACTGTGCCACTTGAGTTCTCTATGAAGCTTTTAGCGGAAAGGGTAAGAAAGGTAATGCAGCAACAACGGAAAAGTACAGAAACACAAAATTACAGAAGATTTAGAGCAAAAATTAGTCCTGGAGAAAATAAAGTAGCAGAAGATGAATTAAGAAAAGAGATCAGGTATTTTAATGTTCTTAACATGTATTCATAAATTAACAAAATATATTTAAGGAAAAAGATAAACTGTCTTATGGGGGGAGGTGGAAAGGATGCTTAAATCTTCTTTCCAGTTTTGGGGATCTCTTATCTAGCTTACGCCATTAAAACATCATTCTTGCAAGAGTGACAGAGGTCTACAGCTGTTTGAACTAAGTGCAAGCAGAATGTGGAAAAAAAACACAACACTAAAAAGGCAACCAATCTCAGATTTGACTTGGCTAAGATTTGTGATTTTCAGAGGAATGCCAAATTTCATGACAGATAACACTAAATAGATTCCGTAACTCATATTTCTCCCTCATGTGAATTTAAAACTGAGTGATATGTGTCTGTGGAAATAAATTTTGTTCAGATGGTCACTGGGGAGTAACAGCGTATGATTTGTAAACTTTGATTTTAAGAAAAAGGTATTAACAAAGCTTTCTTAGAGCAAGAAGGCGGCAAGTGTGTGCTACCTTACTTCAAAACCATGATGCTGCTTTCAGTGCTATTCAATTAGACTATCACCATACTGCATGTTTCTAATTTTATTACTGCTAGTGGCTGTATTTATAATGGGAAGAATGCTGATCAAGTCCTGTTTTAAGGATGGATTGTGCTGTGCCAGGAGTGGCATCATCAGTCAGTGCCAGATTCCAGATCACCAGTTTCTTTTTTCTTGTTCATATCCTGCTTAAATTACAATTGAATTTGTATTTGTTTTTGTTTTAAATTTAGAGTATGTTCTGCAAGGGAGATAATGATGTTTTAAAGTTTTATACTAACATGGAAACTGATGTGGTTTGACTTGTAATCTGTTTATATTTTCTATATACAGTAAAGAAATGTTTGCAAAAATGGAGATCATTGGCCAGTTCAATTTAGGGTTTATAATAGCAAAATTGAATTCTGATCTTTTCATAATTGACCAACATGCTACTGATGAGAAATACAACTTTGAGATGTTACAACAACACACAGTGCTTCAAGGTCAGAAGCTGATAGCGTAAGTATTTTCATTGTTTATTCTAACAAATTTACAAGTTTAATTCAATGTTTTTGAAAGGTATCTATGATTATACTTACATAGTATTTCACACATTCAAAATACTTACAACAAAAGTTATTTTTACATTCAGTGTTCCAAAGAGTCAACCTTCACATAGAGTTACAATGAAATTCCACAGATAGTCATAGCTATGCAGAAAGTCAGTGGTCAAACAGATTTCATGGCAGGATTACATGTTAATTTGGTAAGCCTGGTCATATAGTGAAGATATGGGAGACAGCTATAGCACCAAGGAGTGCTGCCCAGTCCATTTTACTCTGTTGAGTAACACTTGGAAACGAAGTGTTCTGCTCAGTAGTCAGATTTTTTTTTACAAAGCAAAAGGAAACGTTCTCCCAGAGAGCCCTGTGTTGCTGTCACTACCTTAAGCAGTCTTTACTGTGTACCTATGCAATACTGTATTTTTCTCTCTTTCAGGCCTCAAAATCTCAACTTAACTGCTGTAAATGAAACAGTATTGATTGAAAACCTAGAAATATTCAGAAAAAATGGGTTTGATTTTGTGATAAATGAAGATGGTGAGTTTGTGTCAGAATTACTGGAAGTAAGGAAGTTCTATGGCTTCATTCCCATTCTTATCCAAGAATCCCTTTAGGCAGAAACATGAAAATAATTTATTATTGTATAGAGTTTTTTTTTTTTTTTTTTTTTTAAAGACTTATCATTCTGTGGTGGTTTTGCACTATTTAACAGAAGACTGTAGAATATTCATCTCACCATTTTTTTTAAAGTTGCTGTAGACTCTTTGGCATCACTGTTTGGCTTTATGACAGGATGTGTATTTTCTGGATGTGTCACACTAAAATAATTTTGCTTTGTTATTACACTTGTGGGTCCCAGTAAAGTTAGATACAGGCAAATGGTAAATCTAGTAATTTTAAACTATTAGATAGCATTGGTAAATAGTGTTCTTTGGTCTTTATGGCTGTAGCATTAACTAGCTATATATTTCTGATCGAACTGCATAAATTGCAAGCTCCTTATACATGTGTTATCCTTGCTTTACATCTCAGAGCTTTATTGGAAAGGATTGTGAAAGTACTGTATGTTACCACTTTAGTATTTGGGAAGTGACTACAGATTTTTCCATATTCTTCACTTCAGAATCTCCATTTTTTTGCCTGAAATGCTATTAATTATTAATATTTTAGCAACAAACAAAAATCCTTGATTATTTTTTAGTCATATAACCTCAAAACACCTTCATAAATCATTTGCTCTTTGAAATTGAAGGGTTTGTCAGAAATCAGATCTATCTGATTTTAAGTTTGCAAACAATTTTTGGTTAATGTTAAAAACAAAAGCATGTCTGCTATAGTCATTGCTTTGGTTAGCTAATAAAATCCCATCAAAAGACTAAATTTAAATTTTGTCATATATGCAGAACACAGTAACATATCAAAGTATGTTCTCAGTTTTTCTCTCAAGAAACAATAATGCTTCTTTAATGATAAATTTAAAATAATAGCTGTTTCTTTATTAATTATTGCAAATCTTTCAGCTCCTGTAACTCAGAGAGTGAAGTTAATATCTTTGCCAACAAGCAAAAATTGGACTTTTGGTCCACAAGACATAGATGAGCTGATCTTCATGTTAAGTGACTGTCCCGGAGTCATGTGTAGACCCTCCAGGGTCAGACAGATGTTTGCTTCTCGAGCTTGCAGAAAATCTGTAAGTATACAACACTTGATGTTTATTTTCAAGTAAATACAGTATTTTCTGTCGTATCATATGTGGCTGTATCTGCATATGTCTTGCAAGAGAAGTTCATTTACTACTAGGTGTCAGCAGCCAACATCCTTCATTTTATTCCTTGTCTTTGTATAGTGAAACTTGGGAAGAATCCTGTTAATTCTTTATTCTGGTTCAAACTAGTGCAGTGATGAACAACATACTTGTTTCTATTTTGTCTTCTTGTATGTCTTTCTGCTTTTAATGCTTTGCACAGTATTTTACTTACTGTAGTAGTGGAAGTACTGCTCTTATCTGTATGTCAGTTGTCAATATGGAGTAAGATTTTTTTTTTTTTTTTTTTGCATTTACTTTCAGGTGATGATTGGAACTGCACTGAACATACAGGAGATGAGAAAACTGATCACCCATATGGGTGAGATTGAGCATCCCTGGAACTGCCCCCATGGAAGGCCTACTATGAGACACATAGTCAGTCTAGACTTGATTTCATCAGAGTAACAGTCAGTTTCTGTTTATTAACACTTTCAATTTTAAGAACTTGGCAATGTTTCAACCTTTTATCACGGCTCTCTTATTTTGACTAAAAATGATTTTAGCCAGGTTGGATATTTGAAAATAGCACTTAAAAACATTAATCAGGGTTTCATTATCAACGATATCTACATACTGGAATTCATGTGTAAATACCATCTTTTATTGTGATTTGCCTTCTGTATTACTTTTGTAATCAGGATTTTTTTTAATAAATATTTATATATAAAGAGCAAGAGTAGGTGACCCTCAGTTGTAGCAAATACACTTAAGAATCACTGTAATGTTAATTTAAGTCAAGTAATACCATAAAACATAAAATTATTATATACAGGATGTACAAACAGATAATTTCAAGAAAATGTAAATGATCTGCAAATTAAATACAATTGTTTTTTACTTACACTAAAGCTGGTTTTCATTTGATAATTACTTCAAGCATTAATTTTGTATTTAACGATTAACTTACTGACATCACTGGTTAATGTTCAAAAAGAATAACTTATCCAGCATATTTACTTTTAATTAGTATTGTTCCCATTCATATCTCAAACACTTTTTTTCAAGAACAGTGCTTGTTTTTCAGAGAACGAACACACATAAAGCTGTTTCACCAGGTACTGGGGAGAGTGAGTATTCTCTCATGTGAATCACAGTAGTTAGAAAATAGTCATAAAAAAAAAAAAAAAAAAAAAAGGTCTGTGACTTCTGTAGGACTAAGATTTGACCTAGGGGACTTTGTTTTTTTATTTTTGACTGCTCTTTTTTTATGGAGCACTGTGGCTGTGGCGGTGGAGCTGTCCTCGTGCAGGTTGGCATCTGCTGCTTCTCCCAGCTTTGTGGCTTTGATGGGCACACACGGAGACCACATCCAAGCATCTGTAGCTGGCTTGCGTTTGAGTGTGAATGTGCCAAGTACCATAAATACAGTCTCTGTGGAACGAGCTCAACATCTGCTAACGGGCAGTTTGAATCGATGATTTCACAAAGTAAAATAAACCCAAGGTAAAACGGTTTCCCTCGCGGCCCGCGTAAGGCAGAAACAACCTCCTCCAGCAAGCACGAAGCCGGGCTCCCCTCAGCGCCGGACAAGGGGGCGGTCGCTCCCCTGAGGGCGGCACAGGCCGGACCCACTCGGCTTTTCCCCGGGCGGCGGCGGGGCCTCGCCGGCCTCGGGGCCGGGCTGGGCGCCGCAGTTGCTAAGGCTACGGCAGCCCCGGCCAAGGGGCGGCTGCGCGGGAGCGGGCGGCGGCCGTGAGGCGGAGGCGGCCCGGGGGACCCCGCGGCTCTGCCCGTGCTCCGGGGGCTGCAGCCGGCCGCCATTTGGCGCCCGCTCGGGTCTTCCGCGCAGCCTGGGCGCCAATTGTTGTGGTAGTGCCTGAGGGGCTCAGGCGCCTGCTGGAGCCGGGCTGTGGTGAGAACATGGCGGGTGCTTGAGGCTGGCTCTGGCGGTTCCCGCCGCTGCAAAATGTGGTGTTGGTTCTTGTATTACAGAGCAGCGGTGGCCCGTCTGTGAAAAGAGGAGTGGGATTTTTTTTGTTATTATGGCTGGGGAAGCTGTCCCAAGGCATTCGAGTAACAACTAGCAAAATAGCCTCATTTTTCTTAAGCTGTAATGGGCTTTGTATGTTGTGGTAGTCTGCAGTTCAACAAAAACAGGTTAAAATCCAAAATACTCTTGCAACTGTAACTTTAAAGAAGCCCACTAAACTGTCCTCTTAAAAGAAAAGGTGTTCAACTCTTCTACACAATTAAATCTAGACCCTAAAACTCCCCTAGTAAAGATGGACACCTCTCTGCATAGCAAAAATTGGCCTACTGATGATAGTGTTTTGTCAGTATTGTATGGATTTCATAGAGGCAGACATTGGTTCTGGTTAACCCTGCAGTCTGACTGCCACATGCTGAAAACACTTTTTTGAGGAATTACTCTTACAGTACTGATTTTAAATACCTGTATGAAGATGTGTATATATTTAAGTGAATATATTTAAGGAAAAATATTTTTTTTCATGTAATTATCTGTATTGCTTTTGTTTGTTTTTGCATCAGATATGGGCAAAAATCTTCATGTAAGAAGACAGTAGATACTTGGGAGGATAATAGATGTTGAGGCAATTCAGTAGTTATGGCAAAAGATAAGAAGAAAGATGTCAAGAAGTCAGAAAGGTCCGTACGTCCTTCTATTGCTGAACAAGGTGCCAGAACTGAGAGTAGTTCAATAAAGCTAACAGATTTACAGGAAGCACAGACAAGCGCAGCAGTATCAGATAAAGATCCAGAGGAGGTAGAAGAACATCCAGTCCAAAATACTCCGCAATACTATGATGAGCCTGTTCTTACTCAGCTTATTGTAAAAAGGTATGGTTGTTACAGATACATCAGTTAAATTGAGAATTCTCATTTCAGCATCTGTGGTGTACAGTGATATGTATTTTTGTCATACAAATATGGATCAAATCCCTGATTTGAGGCAGCATATGAGGTTATTCAGATCTAGTAGCCTTGACACCCTATAAAAGTGATACACACAGAAATTCTACTGCCTTCCTGGATCCTAGAGTGTTGCTGCCACTTGCGGCTTGCCACAAGTCTCATTCTTTAAGCTTTCTTTAGATGTGGTGAAGTTTAGTCTAAATATATCAACATGTAGAAAAAATTTACCCACATCATTAATTTTCAGTTGTTGCTGCCTTTTAATGTGTAGGACTGTTCATACCCTTTACAAATATCCTGAACTGAGGGAGACAGATGAATGCCATTGTATAACAAATACTTTTGTAGTTCAAGGGAACTATATGTAATGTTTCACATACTCACCAAGTTGCCTGGTTGTAAGCTAATAAATACTACCAGTATGATTTTATTTATTTTTTAATTGAAAATAATTTGGGTCTGTGGCAACGTGGTAACTGTGTGAAATACTACAGGGAGGATTATGAAAATTGGGAATTTTTTAGCTCTATTTTCTACACAAGATACAATAACCGACCTGTGTTCAAACCATGGTAAAACAAAAGTAATTTATTGTATGTCTGCCATAATTTAGGTGTATTGGTGACTTGAAATGTTCATCTTTAGTTTGTTTTCCTTGTAGCTATGAAGGTGAAAAAGTCCATGGATTGTATGAGGGTGAAGGTGTTGCATATTTTGAGGGAGGAAACACATATAAGGTGAGTGTATAAATTAATTAAAAATAGTAGTGATGGATCAACTTACTTGTCTAGATCAAACAGGACATTCCTCTTAATGTAGGTGGAGGTTGAGTGCTTAAAATGTGTAAGCATCGAAAGCTCTGTTGGTTTCTGGCATTAAAGCTTCATTGGCTTTAGTAGTTGGAGATAATTTAATATGCCATTATTATGAAATTTTATAATCACTGTAAGCTTCAGTTGTGGTTAGAATAAATTTGCAAACAGTACAGTTCTTTCTTTTTAAAGGGCATGTTTTCTGAAGGATTTATGCATGGACAAGGGACTTACACATGGGCTGATGGAGTGAAGTATGAGGTAAAGTGCATTATACCTTGTGACTGAACACTGTTACAGCCGATTAGATGTGTAAATTTGAGGGAAGTAGTTACTTACATTGCAGTAATTGGTACAATCCAGGTTGCAACTGCAGAACTGTGGTAGTGATTTCAGCCGTAAATCCGAGTCCTCACAGTTGGTTATATCTTCCTTGCGTTAAGGAGGAATAGTGAGTCAAATGTCTTATTTTTTAAATGTTGTAATTTAATCTTTTAGGGAACATTTGTTAAGAATGTGCAGATGTTTAATGGATGCTATACATGGAGTGATGGCAGCTATTATGAAGGATCGATCGAGAATGGACTTAGGCATGGATTTGGCTTTTTCAGGAGCAGTACCCATCCAGTTTATTATATTGGTTACTGGTATAAAGGCAAAAGACATGGAAAGGTAAATAAAAACACCAAATGAGATCATAGTTTTAAGTGTGTACTTTCTAGAACATAATCCACTCTTGTGCAGGAATTTCCTAAAAATGTTTTGTGTCATTGCATGGTCTTATCCTACATAGGGATTCCTTTTTTTTTTTTTTTTTTTCCAGAACCTTTTCTGAGGTTGTGAATAATAATTAAAACAACTGCGTTGAACTCTTGTTTGTAGTAGAAGGGATGAGTAGTCTGCCAAAAGAGTAATTGGTCTGTTGTGTGTTCTGTTAATCCTTAACGCTGCTCCAATTATATGATGACAAAGCCAAAATTGATGACTGTATCCGTAGCCACATTGTATCCGCAGTGCATTACCACTTTCCCTGAAGGATAAAGTGAACCCACCTCCCAGCTGTGTTAGACAGACCAAGTGATGTTTTCTAAGTGTAGATGAATACTTACGTATTGATTTAAATTGATGGTACTGTTTCTTTCAGGGTACCGTTTTTTATGATTGGGAGCACACCTCTTGGTATTCAGGTGACTGGGTAAATAACATCAAAGAAGGATGGGGAATGAGATGGTAAAGATGATAACACTTTTGTTCTTATCTTCATATTATTTATTTTGCATATATTGTCATATGTTTTTTCCTATTATTTAAAGCAAGTGCTGCCATTTCATAGTAGTATGTACTTCCTGCAGTGGAAAAAATAACTACTAAGTGATTGACAGTAATAACGTAGACCTTCTCTATGAGTTATATTTTTATGTTAATGTATTTATACTTGTCCTGGTTATTGTCGAAACGATAAACTATAAAGATTAAATTATCCTGAATCAGCTTTAGTAAACCACAAATCAGCATTTCAAAACAAATGAACTAAATTGATCTGAACAGATAGAGGTGCTTTCATGAATAAATGAATTATTTGCTCTAGTTTCATATAAAATAATATTTTTATTAGCTATAACAATGGCTCTTTGGAGAAAAAAAGATATGATTAATATTTTTTACAATGGTTTATTAGTTAAAATTTGGTAAAGAGTGAGTATAGTCAAACCTGTGTATCCATGTCACAGTGAGCCAGCTTACAAACTTACACTAATATTTGACATTAAGAAATGCTAAATTTATTAGCATTGAGGCTTTTCATAAACTCTGCTTTCATAAGACCCACTGAGAATTCAGTGTGAAATCTTAACATTTTTTTCTTTTTGCAGCTATAAGTCTGGCAATACCTATGAAGGTCAGTGGGAGAAAAATGTACGTCATGGAAGAGGAAGAATGAGGTGGTTGACAGATAATCAAGAGTATATTGGACAGTGGGTGTATGGCATACAGGTATTGATTTCTTCCCCAGCAACCTCTTTAGTTGAACATCTATCCTTTGCTCTGTTCAAACTAGATAGGGAGTTTTGTGCAAGATCAAAGGAGCATGGTATGATCTTGCTAGTTGAGATGGAGGAAATATGATGTTTGTTGTAAATTAATTCTCATGTTTGGAATATTCCCATTTTTAACGGCTTTTGACTTAATCTTACAAAATCAGAATTTAATTTGAAAACTTTTTTTTTATTATTAAGAATCTTATTTCACATTAGAAAAATTAAATTTTTGTGGCTGTACTTAGAGTGAGATAAGACTTTGGCCATAACTGTATGTGACAGTTGACTTGTGTCATCTGTAAAATATGAGACTTCACTGCTCCCTCTTGTAAAAGTTTTATGATATAAGGAGATTTCTGGCATTTTCTGTTTCTTCTATATATTTTTCTATTGGAAAAAGAGTGGGAACCACTTCCTCTGTCTTTTTACTCTGCATAAGTTTCAAGGAGTCCAGCTTCTGGAACATCACAGTACTGTGTGGCATGCTGTTCCTCACCTGGCTGTTCAGCATTACAGTTGAAAGGATTCAGATAGGAAGGATGTTTTTAGGAGTCCTGTTGGTAAATTCTGCTTAAGTATATGTTTATTCAGTATATCCTCTGAATGCTTTTCCCATACACATTTGTAGAATATAGTTCTATGTATGGTTTGAAGTACGACAGCTATTCACTGTGTGCGTTTATTTGTGAGATTTACCAGTAGCAACTCATAGAGATGCCTACCTAGGTGGTCGTCCTTTATAATAGGACAGGTAGCAGAAGTAGCTCTTAGGAAGGAGACTTTTTTAACCACATGATTTTTTTCCAGCATGGATATGGCACCCACATATGGTTTCTGAAGAGAATGCCTGCATCTCAGTACCCTTTAAGAAATAAATACATAGGGAATTTTGTAAATGGGGAACGACATGGACGTGGGAGGTTCATCTATGCCAGTGGAGCAGTGTACGATGGCGAATGGGTTTGTAATAAGAAGCATGGCAAGGTGCGTATTGACAAGTAATGAGACAAAGCAAGAGAAAACGCCAGATGACTCTATTCTGATCTTGTATAGTGGATCTTGAGATTTCTGTACCAAAAACTACATTAAATTTGCATTGTGGAATCCTAACATAAAGGACAGAGTCCACAGAGAGCAGTAGGAGCCTTTAAGGGACCTTGCTGGGCCACTGGTCTGACTCTATAGTTAGGTGTGTGTTATGTGTATAATGAAATATATTTCACTGTGGAGATTTTAAGTTCAATTTGTGCATCTCAATTTTTGCAGCAGTTGGTCAGTGCTTTTATCTATGAGCTAATGGATTTCAAGCTATCCTTGCACAGACATGTTCTCACATTAGCAGATTGTTAAAAACAAACAAACAAAAACAAACAAACAAAAAAACACTCAACCACGGGCACATTGACTTCAGTATTTCTATATGGGTGTGTGTGGGGGGTGTTTTTTCAAAATACATTACAAAATAAAAAGGATATGTTGGCAATTCTTCATTCCATCAGTGTACTTTAATTAACAGATGACAAAATACTTTATAAAAGAGGCTTTTTTTATGAAAAATTCTTGTGCTTTATTTTATCTTGTATAGTGCTGTATAACCAAGATTGTTTAAAAGGAAGTTTAATTGAGAGCATTAGCGTTATTTTTTCCTGGTCTTTGATTACATAAGAAAATTAATCAATTACATATGTCTGTAGGGCAAGTTTGTTTTCAAGAATGGGAATGTTTATGAAGGAGAGTTTATAGATGATAATATGGTAGGATATCCTGCTTTTCAAGTGGGTGAAATGAATGCACAAGAGTTGAATGCCATTTGCACAGGAAGTCATTTTGGCACTGGTAAGTAGCTTAAGAACACGAATTCTACCCAATTCAGATCTTGTTGCTCTTTTGTCTATAATGTGAAGCTGTTCATACTAATTCAAGAGCCAGACCTATTTCTTCGAAGAACTTTGATGAAGACAGACATTATTTTAATACTTTTTGCTTTAATTTAAAAGTTATTTTAATATTCTTTTGCTCCTATTCTTGTTTCTAGTGTGTGACACTGAGTGACACATCCACACTGCATCTTCTTATAGTTTTGAAACACTGTTTAGAAGTTTCATAGCAGATATAATATCTGCCTTTTCTTTGTTAGTGGTTGGATTTGAAAAAAAATATACTTTAATGGTTATGCTGTTGATTATGAAATATGTACTGTTCACTGTAAAGGAGTCTGCTTTTCTCTGAAGTCAGTAAAACAAGAGGGAATAATGTACAGTTTCTTTTACTTGTGTGTATTTAATTTCATTTTGTTTCTGATTTATTTACTTGTATGTTAGAAACCATTGAAATCATTAGCAACTCAGAAAATCCTTCTACTCTGGGATCAGATATTGAATTAGATGTATCTTCACTACTTGACTTGTTGCCAGGGGAAGAGAGACAGGAAGAAATGAAACAAGTAAGAGCCTAGTATCTAGTATTTCCATTTTTTTCTACAGTGAGATTCATATTATTTCTAGTTGACATATATTAGCCCAATTCTTTTCATTCAAGAATTTTTCAAAAATCTGAAGGCTGTGAAAAAAGAAAAGCACAAATAATGAATGCACTGTATTGACTCTTATCGAGCAGCTACTAGAAAACAATAAAAAATACGTTAGCATTCTTAAGGGCACTCAGCAACTACTAGCAGTTACTGGGAGGGTTGTCTGCTAGCAGACAGAGACAAATTTATTTTTATCAGTCACCAAAAAATATGCATTTTAATTTCATTTGAATAATGCTCTGCTGAGCCCTTAGCCAGGAATTTAGAAGATCAGAAGCATTACGTGCTCCATGTGAGCTGCTTCCTACTTTCTGTGAGACTGTTCTGAAAACATATCCTGCTTTATTTAGGTAGAATTTGCTGTGTTGAGACATATTACAGAACTGAGAAGAATTTACAGTTTCTACAGCAGCTTAGGCTGTGACGATGCTCATGACAACACCTTCCTTATGACTAGACTCCAATTTTGGAGATTTCTGAAGGACTGCCAGCTTCATCACTCCAACATAACTCTCGCTGAAATGGATCGAATATTGAGTGGTTTGTATTTCTGTTGATTAGGATACAGAATCTAGGTATTTTAATAGTAAGCTATGGAGAGTGGGAGTGACAGGCTCTACTCATAGGTAAGTGGCGCAAAGCCAAGTTTCTCTGTGCTTGTGAATTTTCAGTGGATGTATTAGCACTTTTACAAGCACTTCAGGTTCTTAGGTGGGAGAAATGCAAAATTAAAATACTACTTAAAAATTGTTCTACGGAGACAGACATCTGTATAAAAATGTTTTCACCCCTGGTCTTGTTGCTACAGTTACACATAACTTTAAGAGGTCTGAGAAGAACTGGTAGAAGACAAAAATCTTTCATATTTTTGTTAATATATCTCAAGTTTGCATGTAGTTTTTTTTTGTTTTGTTTTGTTTTTTTTTCTTCCATAGAGCCAGTTTATGAGTTAGCTTCATTTAGACCCGGACTGTGCCTTTGTTAGAAAGACACCCTGCAGTGTTCCCAGTGTGTGAAGGGATTAACTCCAACTTCACTTCCCCTTCTATTTGCATACGCTGAGGGGATGAATTTTTAGAAAGAGAAATGATAAGGTATAGATACAGGTGGACTGTGCTCCCTTGCCCTGCTTATTTGGAAGTGTTGCTGTGTCTTGTCTGATTCTTCCAGGAGTGTTATTTCACTGCAATAGGTAGAGACGGAGAGCATAAGAAAGCTATAAGCTCAATACAGTTATAAAGCATTTGAATGTACATGATAGCAATAGATGTTATTTTTTCATTTTTTTTTAGGTGATAAAACGCCACTTGAGGAGATACATTCTCCATATGAGACTTTACTCTTCAGAACGTTTTTATCTCGCCTTATTCATCTAGCATTTCATATCTATCATAAGGAGCACAAGTAAGTTTCACCTTTCAGTGAAATTTACTTCAGCATAATGGTTGATTCTTCCTAGACAAGGACTTCTTCCTCTCATTTAATTCTGCTTCTCCCAGGACGCTGGCTTGCCTTTGCACTCTTGATTATTCATTCTTTCTGTTGCTGTTCTGATACTGTTTTTTTAAACTAGTCTATATAAATTGTAGCAAATATTTCTGAAGTGCAAGGTAGACTGTAGAATTTCAGTGGGCTTTTGATCCTACAACATGAGTGTGTTTTTGAAATTTCTACTTAATGTTTTTTGCATTAATTAAATGACATTTTCATATTGAACAGAAATAAATGTGAATCTTCTCTCCTTGGTTCTATATGAGGGAGTCATAATTCAAGATGGTTTTGGGAAGGACTTTTACCAAGAGTCCTGAAATTCACTGAAGAGTGTCCAAGAAAAATCTGTTTTAAAACTGTTACAGGATAAATGTACTTTTTAAAAAACATAATAATAATAAAAAAACTTTAATTTTACATTTTGTACAAATGAAAAAATGTAATTTTTGTTTCGCCTGTAGGGACAAAGGTCTTTATCTGAGTAAATGTTTTGTAGAAATGGTGTCCAGGAATGTTATTCCCACTGCATGTCATATCCAGGGTAAGTAATATTTTGGATATTCTTCTGTACTGTATAAAATTCATTTAATATTACATACATCACAATTCTCTGGTAACTGTTGTTTTTTCCCAATTAATTTTTACAGGTATCCTGTTTTCTGAACAGCGTCGTACGGTTTTTGTCCTGAGCTACATAGACAAATGCTGGGAAATATACAGAACTTTTTGTAGACCAAATACTAGACCTCCATTTGAACCCACAATGAAAATGAGGCAGTTCCTTTGGATGTTGAATGTAATCTATTTTTGTTATTTTGTGTGATTAGGTGCACTTTTTTCAGTTTTTGTAGGCATTTAAGAATTCTCCCTGTGACTTCTGCACAGTTGAAAAAATATGAGTATTGCTGCTTGTACAAACTGTCCAACAGATGTTACAGTTGTTACATGGAAATTTATGTGCTCTTCACAGGATTGCCTTCTGATTTCTTACTTGATTATTTCAAATAATCAAATCTTAGACACATGTTTTGAGGGAATATAAATGTTTTACCTGTTTTTCATTTTCCTCCCATAAAACATGCTGAAATGTCATACTGGTAGAACTCAAAAATTGGAAACTTTTGAAATAACAAAATAAGGAATTTTAATAAGGTACTAATTTAATTTACTGCATCGTGGTCATGAGATTCTTTATTAAAATTCAGCAATCCAGGGACAGACATAGATTACACTGAAGCTATGGAACAATTTCCAGTGATATAACTGTGTTTTGAGTCCCTTTCACTGTTTAAATCCAAGCCTTTTTTCTTTTCCTTGAAATTTCCTAATTAAAACTATCAGATGGCAAAATTGTAATGTTTAATATTCTTATTTTTGAGCTTTCTCAAGTTCTTAACACTGTTTTTTTGAATTCCCAGAAAAATTACTGTTGACTTCTGTTGATACAGAATTTCAATCAATCATTATTTGTGTAGTGGAAGTATCATTTGAAACCAATAGAAATTTTGATACAGGCTTTAAGGGGAATTGGATTAGGTTCATATGGGAATGCCTTAAGTGCTGTTAACATGTAATATTTAATCTTACACAGGATTTTAAACTTCTCAGCAAACAATTAACTGCTTCGAGACTTGTGGAAATACTCGTCAAAGATGGTCCATCTCTACATGACAGCAGTAGTATCAACCTGGAGCAGGAGGTATGTTCGTTGCTACAAGAACAATTAAAATTAATTTTAGAAAATGTTGCAAACAGTTTCCCTTCTGCCAGAATGGGAAGAAAATGTAATTTATTATGAAAAAAAATGAGCACAAAATTTGTAATATTTTTAGTCTTCTGTTGTTTTGTGCCTGTATCTTCTAGTACAGCTCATGTAACTCCATGTTTTGCTTATTATATTGCCTTTGGTATAGTCTCAGCATACCTGTGCACTGATCACAGAGATAACACCGTAAAAGTATTGTAACACAGAGGGCGAAATACTCGGTTAGTGATGTGTGAGGTGTCACCAAGAGTCACCATCCACTGATGAATGGTAGAAGACTCTTGAGCTATGAGCTGGGATGCCATACAGGGCCTTCACCCTTAAAGAACTAGCTCTTATCCAGTGAGAATCTATTGTAAATGACATAATTGAATAAGACTGAATATGATTTGAATATGATTTTAAACAGTATTTAATAAAGTGAGAGTACAGTGTATAAGCATTAATAAAGGATTCATTATACACCCATTCTTGGTCTCTCTGGAAGCATCATGTACAATTAAACATTTTAGGTAATGCCAATAATTTTATGTTACTGCTCAGGGAAAAATTTCTTGTAGCTCCAGATACAGCAAAAATCTATTCAGTATTTTATTTTAATGAGATTTGTATAAGGCATAAGACAGTATATTACTGACTGAATTTTTCAATTTAATTTTAATTTTTTTCTTCAAAAGAAGGGATGTTTAAGTAGATACATGAAGCAGGCGAGGCTTTGTGAACAATCAGTTTTTGAGTTTTTTGTTTGCTCAGACACATTTATCTGTGATGAAAGGATTTGTGAAAATTAATGAATTAATAACTGTATTTTGTTTTACTCTAGTTGGTTTTTCTTGAATTTGTTGAAGCTCTTCTCGATTGTGCGCTGGTGTATGTTACCAATGATATGATTAAAGAGCAGGTAGATCATGATAATCAGAAGAAAAGTAACTCCAGAGTTGAGGTTTTCTCCAAGAAAACCACAAATGTTTCTCTGTGTCCAGAATATTCTCTCTCCCAGGTAAAGTTAATACAGACCTGATAAATGTATGTCCACTTAGAAGGCAAAGTCAGGCCCTGCAAAGCCTGAACATAGAAACCAAATTCCTCTTTTTGCATAAACGCTCATTTTATTGGATCCTTCTGCTTTTTCTGTTTGTTGGTACCGTAGATTGCGTTATCAGTATAGACAGTATAAAGAGGCTTGCACATTTTCATAGGTAATTATAAATACACATAAAGTACTTTCAAGTTTTCCAGTGTTCAAAGGGGAATTGATAAGTGGGTTGACTGGTGGAGGACATGCCTCTCCTGCTCTAAGTGGGATGTCTAAAATTGCTGTGTAAGAATGGCCTTGAAGCTATTGGACATGACAGGACCTGCGCATTCCCAGAGGTTATGCTGTACTCCTGTTTTTGCTAATCTTTTGAGTGAGGATTCTGTAGGTTGTAAGTTGCTGCCTATGACACTCATGTAATTTAGGGACACAGGATAATTGAAAGAAAGACTTATTATGAGTTATGCACAAAATTAAAATATTTTCTATTAAATTGCAGAGAATTCAGAAACTGATTTCAGTCTCTAAGTACGTAGTGCTGCTGAACACCACCTTTTTCCATTCTCTGTCCATTTTTTGCTCTCCTGTGTAACGTTATTACCTTGCATTACTGCAAGTAGTCATGCAGTAGCACAGTGAAACAGGCCAATTAAACTAGCTCATTTTCACAGACTAATAGAAAAATCTTCATTTAAAATGTATTGAATATCTTGTTCACTTTTTACTAGTACACTTACAGCAGAAGCATAATGGGTACAGACATAAACGATGACATTTCTGAGGCAGTTGAGTTCAACAGTTCCTCATGGTTGTCTTCAAGCGAAAGTGTCATATCACAAGATGACATAAAGAAGCATGAGGTACATAAAAAGCATATACTGAAAGTTGAGGGTTTGCCATTCATGGGTGATAGAGAAGCCAAGGTAGTTACATGTTTTGAAAGGGGCAAGAATTTCACCTAATATTAAAATGTGTTCCTTTGCCTGAATGCATACAAGTGGGATATTTCTATTGCTAACAAAGCATTTGTTCCTACACATACTCTTAGCTATTTTTATTTAGGATATTGGTTGGTATTTTCTACATAAACTAAAGCAGAAGCCAGTGGTGAATAAAGCTACGTGTGTTATCTCTATTAGCATGGTGGGGAGTTAAAGGGTGAGAAGTGGGCAAAGAGATTTAGTAGCACTGGAGAAAGTAACTGTAACATACTTCCTAAAAACACTTCTCAGATTTCTTCTGGCAGTTTTTTCAATATCACCACCTTTACAGTTTTGCACCCACTGAGTATTCTTTTAACCGTGGGTAGAATCAGATAGTGAAGTAAAGATAACTGAATATGATTATGGTGAGATTCTTAATGTTCCAAGAACAAAAATGTTCTGTTTGATGTCAGAGATTCTAGGGTAAGATACCAAGGATTAGTCAGAGAATTTAAAAACTTCCTGACTTAAAATGAAATAAAATATACGAACACTTTGAAAATGGAACCATGTTTGACCTGAGCTATTGTGAGACTTCTGCTGTCACTTGTCTGAAGAGTGGCATCACTGGGATACAGTAAAAGCTTGGGATTACAGCAGGGAAGATTTCAAAGGATCCTTCTCAGATATACTTTTAAATAATGGTCTTCTCTTTTCACTGAATGTAGTTCCTGTAGTATATTCCTATAGCCAGAAATAGATGACTAATAGAACGTAGCACAATGTATGTAAGAACAGAGGTGCATGTCTAAGAGCAGGAGCTTTTGTTCTCTGTACTTGTGTCTTTCCCTTACTCTGAAATAGGATAATCCTAATTCCCCGGTCATTGTCAAAGCAAAGTGTTGTGACTGTTTTGCTAATATTTGAATGTGTGAAACACTATTGTAAGTTAAATGTTTTGAAATAGGCATAATTGAAGAATGTATTTGGTTAGGAGAGTGCTTTGGGAGTAGATATTTGCATGATCCAAATGGACAATATAATTTCAATATTTTTTTTGAACACAAGTCAAAGCATTTAGTAACTGAATTTAAAACTTCTTGCCAGCCACTGAGATCCAATGAAGACAGAGGGCAGTCTCTGCAAGAATTTCTAATGGGTGAGTACTGTAGTTAACCACAAGCATCTATAGGCAGCTACAAATTTAAAGACGATTAAAACAGTAGTTAATTGTTGAAACACTTGGATGTATTGAATTATGGAGGGTAGTGGCATTCAGTTCTGTAATTATGACAAGGTTTACCTCTCCATGTTTAGCTTCCAAAACATGTTATGCACAGTTAGCTGGGCAAGTTTGAATCTGTTCTGTGCTTTTTAAAACAAAACAAAACAAAAAATCCTCAGAGGCTTTTTTAAAGTTAAATTCTTACTGGTCTGTCCCACTCTTGGGTATAGAAGCAGGAGATTGAACTCTGCACTGTGTATTCATTATAAACAATCTTTTAATTGGTACGGAAGTGTTTCGACCACTAAACAAGCCTGAAGGTTGATGATGATCTATATTTGTTTTTGCTGAAGATCAAAACAAATACTTAATACAGAGAATTACAGATTGAGTCATTTTATTTTTTCTGTGTTTGCAGTACCAGATCCTGTCCTCTCATTCCACACAAGTCATGGAGAAGTCAAAGCTGTTTGTTCATTGTCCAGCTGGGATACAGACAAAGGACAAAATCTCTTTCCAGCAGTGGAACTGACAGGTAAAGCAATCCTACTGTCTTAAGATGAACATGCACACACACACACCCCTCACAGCTCCTCAGTTGTGAAATATTATTTGTATATGCAGATTTCAGCTTGTCACAAGAGGACAGTAAATGAACATTAATTCTGGAGGAAATTTTTTGAAGAAAAAATTTAAAATAATTATTTTAAAGAAAGTGTAACTTAAATGAGAATTTAACGTAAAAACTTAAATATTATTTCCACAATTTTAAAATGCCACATCTTATCTGTATGGCAACTCTAAATTTTAGTTTTTATTTACTGTATGGGAAGCTCAATCTTGGATAAATAAAATATATTGTGGCTATTTCTTGCATCTTTTACTTATTAAAAGAATTATTATTGTATATTCAGGAATGGCGTGCCACCATTATCTGGGTTAAAATGTTTTGTGTTATGACAGGCCAGCATTCACGCAGAAGAAAAACTGTTAAGAGCATTTTCATATAAAGCCTACTAACTTTCTTGATACTCACCTTTTTATAACATCACCCTTCTGGCTGGCAAGCAGGTCTCATTAGGGTTGTTCTTTTGTTAACTTGTTACAAAGGTAAAGAACTCAAATGCAATAACATAGGAGGCAGGTTTTTTTTAAGCAGTCCATTATGTCTTTCACTGAAATCTGACTGAAAAGTTAGATCTGAAAAAACGGTGTTTCTTAAAGAACAAGCAGATGTAACCTAGCCTACGTTTTGATAGTCACAGCAATTGGATGCAGTTCTGTTCTTTCAGAGAGGCATGCTAATCCCTCCATTCCCCCATGTATGGGAGTCATGGGCGCTTAAATGTTGTGAGCTTACTGCATAATTAAGACATCTGTCATAAGATTAACGGGAATTTTTATATTCTTCTGATGCCATTCCCAGAGATGAATCTGAAGACCTGCAAAAGGGTTATCCCCTTTCACATGTATCAATTCTAAGTTTATGAGTTGTCATCTTTTATACCATGCAGAAACAAGCGTGTATTGCTCAGATATGAAGAGGTGAGGAGCGTAATGATCAGTGCAGCTAGACTTTTCTGTTGCAGGGTAGCAGATCTGAAATATTGTAGTCCAACAGGCATTTGAAATATAAATATTCTGTTAAATAAACGCGTTTAATTTGTATGTTGCAGATAAACTAGAAGCCAAAACTGGAAAAGACAAGGAATTTGGTCAGTGGATGTATCAGGTGCAAATCTTTTTTATAAAAAACTTCTTTCCTGCCTACCATCATGAAAAAGCACTGAGGGAAAAAATAAAAGAAAATCGAATACAGGATGCTGAGTTAGCTGAGCTGAGAAAGATGAAGGATGAGGAGCTGGCAAAGTACGTATGGGATCTTATCTCAAAATATTTTATCTTCTATTAGCAAAATTATTGAAAACAGGAAATCCACTGTAATACAGTAGTATATTTTTTCCCCAGTTACAGTATGCTAATCTAAATGTAGTAAGCAACATATAAAATGTAACTTCTGTTACTATCAGGAATAATGAATGCAGGCTCCCTTTAGGTTACAGAACAATCTTTCCTAGTTCTGCTCTACATAAAGGCAGCCAAGTCAAATGTATTTTTGAATACTGTAAATTGGACTTGAAGGATTAACTAGCTGGACTTTCTGCTTCTCTACAGTATGACAGCTTATAATGTGAATATAGGTGTAGTTGCTTGGCCAGTATAAATCTGCAGTACATAAATTGAAACTTTGTTCACTCAGGCTTATTGCTGAAAGAGAAGCAGCAGAGGCAAAAAGGCAGGAAGAGGCCACAGTTGAAAAAGAATCTTCTGAGTCCAAGAATACAGCTAATAAAGAGTTAGAGGAGCCTGGTGCACAGTTAGTACCTCCTCCAAAGGAAGAGGCATCTGTTATACCACCCCCTGTTGTTACCAAGGTGCCTGCAGGTGCAAAGAGAAAGAAGAAGTAAATCCTCTGATGAGGCCTGAAGCTTCAAGTATGTAAGTATTCTTTGAAGAAAAAACAAACACACCAAAAAACACCTGCAGTAGCATTTAAAACACAAGTGAGATAAAACTGCATGGCACATTTTCACAGGGAAATTAAACTTCATGGCGAGCTGCTTTAAATGAAGGGTTTTGGGAAAACAAATATGTTAGTTAGGAGTGTAACCCTTTGCTTAAAGAAAACCATTCCAAAAGTCGGTATTTGATGATTAACTAAACATTCTATCATTGCTAAGCGGGTATAGAATTGATATCCCATATCATGAGTGTATGCCCTAAGTACATGGTTTCTCCTTAAATCATTGCCTATTTGATTGAAATGCTTCATATAAGCAAGTATTTTTGTGGTCCAGTCTGGAGTAGACCTGTGTTTAAGTAAGAATTTGACAACAAAAAAGGTGAATTGGGATGAAGTAGAAGCTTTAAAAACAGTTCAACTTAGAACAAATAATTTTCTAGCACCTTTTCTGGTTACACAAGACCTCAGTCTAATTCTACATCATAGCATGACTTTCTGTTAATTTTCTACAAATCAACACAGGGAAACCAAAAGATGCCCTTAAAAGTGTAACAATTATTAATTTTATTTTCCAGTAAAATATTCACATAACATCAGAATGGAATGGTACAGATGAATTCAGACTGGTTTTTAATTAGTTTGCACATAAACATTTTTAAAATCTAAAAATTTTATGATCAGTTTACAGATTTTAGTAGAAATTTTGATTCTTACAAAGCAAGTATTGCTTTACTATTGTCATTATTCCAGTCAATAATATGACTAATAACTTCTCATGTTGAACAAGTGTCTGACATTGACATCTTCGATAAATCAGCCCTTTGCAGATCAATCCAAGAAGAAAATATTATTAAATTGTGTTGCACAAAGTTTCTTCACTTCTTCTGTAAAAAAAAAAAATAAAAAAAAGATCAAATTTTAGAAATCAGTATATTTTACAGGAAGCTATGCAAGAAAAGCCATGGCAAGCATCAAGTAGAGCATAATTTAATTCAAACAGAAAAAAGTAGGAGTTTCCTTGTAGAAATAATAAATTTTGTCTTCAGTAAGAGAAAGTTGAGTTAAATTTGAAGTTCCAGACTGTCTGAAAGGTAAGTTGTATTGTTTAGCAGCTGAAGTATAAGTGGTAAGTGCAACCAGATCCTCTTTCTAAAATTTAGGTTATTAGGTTTAGGTAATAGAAAAAATATTAATTCTTTCCTATCATCCAAATCAGAGCATTGCCTGTTTATAAAAACCACGAACCCCCAAATTGCTGCAAATAATACTCAAACTGCCCTTTCTCTTGAAAAATCAATCTATTTAAAAGCTCAATGCATCTTAATGCACATGCACCCTCGTAGACTGAAGACTGATTTGCTCTTAAAAACACTTATACTGGCAGAAGGATCACCGACAGGAGTGACATGATGTCTAAGTAAGTTTTATGTCCGTGATCCCTGGGTAGGTTACATCAGATGTAAATATTTTCATCTCCAACCTGTAATACACATCATTAATTACTCCTAAATATCACAAAGTACTCCTCTATTATTTCAAAGAATAATGACTCAATAATTTAAGAATGTCTCATGAATATTTATGTTGTTCTTTTTTCATAGCTGATAGAGAAAGCAGACTAAAACCTGACACAAACTTACCTGGTCTATCACCAATCCCTTCCTCTCTTAGATTTTGCATGAGACGGATTTTATTACTTTTCCATGGGCATACGTTTCACTAGTAACTGTATTTTAAAGTAATAAAAAACAATCCTTACCATTAACTTCAATCAGATTTGCATTTTTTTGATTCAAAATAACATACAGTTCTCGCTGGTCAGACTTTTTCCCAACTACCCAGTAATCACTCATTGCCTTCACAATAATTTCCTCATCTTCGTCAACTCTGAAAGAGGTTTCAAAAAGTAAAGAAGGTGGTGGCAAGTTGATAGTCATCAATTTTTCAGTTGTACTAATTTATTAATAATAACATCATAAATTGTCGTGGAGTATCAAGAGATACTAACAGAGTACTAACTTCAACATAATTAATCAATCCAAGACTTCATAAATAAGCTGCACAGAATGATTTACTCATCTAGAGGCACAATTCTTGCTTTGTCTGTTGGCCAACACTCCTGCACTTCAAAGAAAACACTGTCCGTGAAGTAAGGACATACTTCATAGCATTATGTTTTGCTACACTGTGACCAGATTACAGAACATAGAGATAGTAGACCCTCACCCCATATCAAGTTGTTAAACATAGAACTAAACCAAGCTGAACAACTAAGTCTATTATATAAGGCTGTCACTAAACCTGGTACTTCCATAATATGATGAAATTCTGACTTAAAACTGAAAATGAAAAACTTGTCCTTATATAGAGCGGGACTATTGCTAGTCCCTAGTTAGAGCTATAGACATCACAATTATTGCCATATTTTCATATTTTTATGAGTTTTTGTAGTTCTAGGAAAGTCTCTCCAACCTTGAATTAGATGAGACGATACCCTTTACAAAAAGCCACTTATCTTTCCTGTGAGCAGTACTGTAGTAACTGCAAGGCTTGTGTTTTATCCATTGTCCAAACCCTAAAAGCAGCCAGCTATTAAACCCCAGCAGAGGGTTTAATGTAACAGGCAGAAGCAGGTTTCCTGGTCCTTTATGCTACTTATCATGACACTAGATGGATTTAAGTGTAAAAGCAGTTTGCTTCAGGCCCTTTCTAAGTTTATCATGGTTACTCTGAAGCTTCACATAGATTAGATATTTTGTTAGATAAAGAAAGGGCCAGGGCTTCTAAATTATTTTTTAAAAGGACAAGAAAAACTTATGTATGACATAATATTTTGTGTTGGTTAGAAGTAGTAAATATGACCCACATTACACAATTCCTTATAGAGCTATGAAAGCCATCCATGAACAAAAAGGCATGAAAGCTTCACCCATTTGAAAAATCTACTTCACAGAAGGGGTTACACACTATTTAATAGTTAAGCATTACCTAGAGAAGTCACTGTTGATGTCACCAAGAATCTTCATGAGGTCAGGATGTACAGATGCAAGTGATACACTGGGTGTTTTCCTCATGTGAATAGTACTCTTCTCCTGCAAGGTTCATGTGATTGAAATAGATAAACTTAAACTGTGGCTCCTTCTCAGCCCTAGGAAGATTTAAAAAAAAAAAGTGACTTGCAAATACAAACATGTTCTATAAGCACAAGACTCACAGAAAACATTTATCAACTAAGCAGTGTAAAACTTACTGAGACACCACTGAAGTTATTTTCACATTGCAGAAACCAAGTACATTAAGATTTGCAGCAAGATCAAACTTAATTTAAATACTTAAATAACATTAAAAACAACAACAACAAAAAAAACCCTCCAAGACCAGTTTTTCCTTCTCTTAGGCTGCTAAGAAATAGACACAGTGGAGTCTAAGGGCCTGGTCCAACATCCCATCAGTATTTTGTTCAGATCTTTCTAATAAACTATTTTTTCCTTCCATCACCATTTTGTTTCCTTGCTGTGACAGCTCAGTCTGCTTTGAATGGAAATGGGTCTTTAACTTGACTACTTAGGAATCTTTCACTCACATCTTTATTTGTTAAGTCAAAAGGAATGACTCTTCCTTCATCCAGGCAATTAGTTTTCGACCATCATTTGTGTGGCCCAGCCAAGACTATTTTCAAACTCCTGCCTCAGTTATCCTCCTCCATTTCCTCTTTTATTAAGGTAATACAAAATCTGTCACTTAAAGCTGTAATTTTGGTTTAAGCCACAACAAATTTAGATCATCAAAAAGTGGCAACAGCAATTGGTACTTCAGGCTATGTATTATTCAGAATCAAGGAGATACTGTGATGACACCAGTCACCTTAGCAAACAACTAGATACCCTTTGTCTCTGTCACCCCAGCGCATTAGTGTCAAGAAGCTGTATCATGTTTTCAGGACACTGTGGCATTAAACTTTAAGAGGGTTAAAGCAGCCAAAACCAGTCCCAGATGACAGGGAAAAAAAAAAAGCCAAGTTTAATGATTTAGTAGATTGGCACAATTTCAAGTGCATCCTACTCTGTACTCTGCAATTCTGCTGATTTGGCATGCTACCACTACAAAAATTAAGTCTCACACCTATCTTTGATTTAATTCATTTTTTGTTTTATGTGACTGCAATTCTTGGTTCCACAATTAAAAAATTTACCTACAAATAAGCCATTTTATATGGAGAATCAGCTATAGTTTTAAGAGATTTGTTTCAAAATTTCTAAAGCATTAGCATACTTTTTCATTTTTTTTTCCTTTGTTACCTTGGTTCTGCAAAATACAAAAATAACAAATCATTTTTTCCTCGCCTACCATACGTGGCCACACCGAGAAGCAGTACTTCTGAATAAAAGTACTTTTTAAAGCTTGCATTGTACCAAAAAAATAATGCACTCCAAAAATAAAAACAAAACAGAAGTCATTCTGATATCTAGAACTTCTTTTTCCTTGTAGCATCATTCCCATAAGATAAGGAACCTAGCTTCAGCATCCTAAATAAAACCTTTGATTTCCATCAAATATGTTGCACAGACTTTTGGCTCCAAAGCAATAGCAGGAAAGTTGCCTCTCCTGTGCTCTCACTATCTTCCTATTGGGTTAACACAGCATGAAAGAAAATTCTTAAATTGGACAGTTGGAGGAGGAACCGGAAAATGAGATAAGGGTTTAACCTGCAGGAGTTAAAAAAAAAAAAACAACAACAAAAAAAAAAACAAACCACCCATCTTGCCCTACAGATGAGGCAGAAACTATGACAAAGCAAGCGTTTCCCTGCCAGGAATTGGTAATTAAAGAGAGCACAAGAACTTGGGACCAAGAGAGTAACTCAACATAACAAAGGAAGACAAGAACATGAGTCCCATGGAAAACAGTCTTCACTCAGCCAGGCTACCATAAAGTAGACTACGCTGGATACATCTAGGTCTTTCCCCAGGAAGAACTGGGTTATTCAAAACCCACTCATCTGTTTACAGGCTATGTCTTCCACTTGAAAGAAGTGCCACAAAGAGCAGCCCATTATGCCCTGATGTGCAAGTACAGTACTTCTACAAATGAAGAACACAAGAAAATAAAGCTACTTATGAAAGGTCACACTTGATTTCTATGCTCTTGTCTCAATCAACAACTCAAGCCCAGAGGTTTTACATCCATGCTATCTGATAAACACATGGTGTGCATTTGTAACAGATTTAAGAGTTGCATACACTCTGTCCAAACTATAGATGCATGTGTCTAAGGAAACATTCAGACAGAGCTTGCTGTGTCAACATCTACTTGGTGTGAAAAAGACAATTCTCTATTTTTAATGTTACAGAAAATATCGGTCTAGGAAAACAGAAGTCAAAGGAAATCAACAAAAGAAAGGAGGTGGGCACAAAGCCAGTAATATTTTTAAGAAACTCAAAAGTTCTAATTGCCCAAAGGCTATTTGTGAACATTAAGAGATCCTGTTTGATCAATAAATGTTGCAAAATATAAACTGAAAGTTTTGCAGGAACTGTTATTTCTGTTTCAACATGGCAAGGACAGACTGTCTGTCCTTGCCATGTTGAAACAGACAGTTCAGTCTGCAGACTGAATGCAGACAGTTCAGTCTGCATTTTTACCATCTTGTATGTATTTCTGCAAGCATACTAATCCACTGAACTATGCATCTCCATAGACCAAGCTCAGTTTCACTTATGTAAAAAGCAAAACCCAGAAGTTCCACCTGCTGTATCTGAAAAGACTGTTGACATCTTCAGGATGAGGCCGAAGAATCTTGATCAATAAATGAGATTTAATATCTTAATATTTACATGATTCTTCTGCAGCAGTTATGCACATAGAGGAAAAAGGCTTCAGCCACACGATAAACATTCATAACAAAATTAATAACATGTATGTCATTATTTCAAGGAGACCTGAATATGCAACAACAGAAACTTTATAAATGCTTGAGATGCAGAAAAGTAGATAAACGTCCTAAGATACACAATTAACTCAATGCTTTCAACATTTGGGAATCATATTACCATTATATTAGCAGTTCATTAAAGCTAATGTTTAACCAACTAAAGCAGGACTGCAACAGAAACATGGTACAAACCCTGATATTCTCTTGTTGATGTTGTATTGTTCACATATGTCTGATGCTAACACAGTAAGTTGAGGCCCAACAATGCTGTCCAGTTTACGGCAAAACTCCAGTGTAGGCGGAATTGAAGCTATATGGCATGTAAAGAAAGGGGAGAGATGAGATTCCCTTCCCACAGTAGAAGGTACAGCTTCTGTAGTTGCTTTCTTTAAACATCCTTGAGAGTCCTCGGACAAATTTCTCAGTTATACCTGTGCACTTTCCAAATCATCCATAAAGTTAACTTTAAGCAATATTTAGTCATTTTATTGTGTAAATTGAATTACCTATACCACTGGAACAAAATCAAAAGACTGATAAAAAGCACTCATGAAGTGTCTTAAATAAGAAATTAACTTGAGTAGTTTCAAAAGTAAAACAAGTTGTATGCGTTTTGTACTGTGTCTCACCAAAGAAGTGATACTAGTAGGTACTTACCATCAATCATAAAGCAGACAGCTGCACTCATGGCCTGGAACAAAAAAGTTAAAGCAAAAAAACATTTACAACAGGTTACCTCAACTACCTCAAAGTCATTTGACAATACTTCAGAGAAGTCACACATAGGTAAACCCAGTTAAATAATAGTAATAAAAATAATCACCTAGTTTAAAGGTGATTATCCTTACCCTTTAATAGGACAATCTCTTTGCAATCTACCATAACATGGGATAGTTAGGATTTTAAAATTCAGCCTAGTTTAGAGTATTTAAGCTGTAGGGGAAATGTAAAATTTGCTACTAAGTGCATTTATGCAAGGAGGTATGTCTGCAATGAATTGCATTTCATTACAAAAATACTATTTTTTTCTCCCGATGGATTAATGCAATATAAAGCCAGGTATGAGATCATGTAAACTTACTATGGCTGGCATTTCGTTTTGATAAAACTTTTTTTGTTTTAGGGAGGGTATACGAGAGGGGAAGAAGTAGACTCAGGTTTTAAATTCTACTGCTCGAAATTCCACAGTTTTCTGTCTCTTTGCTCAATCAATGCATCTCTTTATGCAGTTCACAAATATTTCACATAATTGGCTTCTCGTATATAGATTCCTAATTCTGAGGAATAATTGCAGAGAAAAATGTAATACCTTATATACAATTAAATGAAGCTCTTCGTAAGTGTCATCAGTGTTAACAAATATTTTGGGGAATCGGCATTTTGCTTCTGGATCATTAAGATTTAAGGGTCCAGTAAGAAACCTATAAGATAATTTAACAGGTCAGATGTGATGAATTCTTGTATTTCAGTTTTTCCTATTTAACAGATGTTTTTGAAACTAGCAATTACTTGCATGCATGAATGCATTTTCATACAGTATGTTTTCAGCTATCCAGATAGGCACAGAACCCTTTCCTTTATGTATTATCTCAGCACTCTTATTTTCGAAGTATTATTTGCATATATGTTCCCGCTACAGAAACAGGATCAGAAAAGCAGAGTAAAAAGTAATAAGGAAATAAGCTGCACAGATTGTCAGGTGAACAACAGCCAAAATCCTTCCACATCCAAGTTATGACTTTAAAAAAAGCCTTTTTTGTTGCTACTGGGAAGGCATTCATCCTCTGCTTTCCAACAGTATATTCAGATAAGCTTTACGTACAACAGTGATGTATTAGAAACACTTAACTCTGAGGGGAAAAGCAGGAAAGCACGTGCCACTGCCTCTATCCCAACAGAATACACTAAATCAGGCACAGTGGTTTATTATTTATAGTGGTTAAAGAAAGATGACTGAACCCACAATTATTCAAGATGTTGCCCAGCTGCTTAGGTACAGGATTCCCCCCTCTGACATACCGAATACAGAGGAAAAATAAATCACTAGATGCATGCACCTTTGTCTGAAGTGCCTGACTGAAAAGAAGTGTCTGGAGCACTGCCAAAACTATTCATGCAGTGCATTAAGAACAGTAGGGAAGAAAAGGCTTAAATTCTGTTTCTGCATATTTATTTTTATCTTTTTTTTTTTTTCTTTTTCCCCCTCAGAGGTCAAGTTTTACATTGTACTGACTACTGTGCGACCCTGTGGAATGGACTACATGTGGAACATGTCCCCAAAAATAAATTCACTCCTCTCAAATGTTTTGCCCTTGAGGGAAGAAGGAGTAGATGGTGACAGTTATTAAGAGGCTACCTTCCATAATGTTGTAGGTTTCCTGGCATTTCAGCACGTATTGGAGAATCTCTTCCTGCTAACTGAAGCAAAAAAGAACACAAGAAAAAAACAGCTTAGAGGTATTTTCTGTTACTCTTTTGTAGGCTGTCTTTATATCATATTATATATAAACCATTGCAGAAAATAACGCTCATGAAGATATATACTCTTTGTGTAACATGATGGAGACAAAGCTAAAGAGATGCTGACAGAACAGAACATTCTGATTTTGCATTTATTACTTTGGAGCTTTGCTGGGGGTGGGGAAAAGGATAACTAACTCCATGTGGTCTTGAACTCCATGTTCTGTTTAGCCATTAGGCTGATGTGATTTGTTTGCAATACTGAGTATGGTCAGGACTACAAAGTAGGGAAGTATCTTCATTATGCAGGTATGAAACACATCTGAATGAATTCTTCAAAGTGACATACAGGGAAGGCAGGTCTGTTCACCTTATCTGCTGCAGTCAAGTTCTACATTAGCAACACACACATTAGCTAATCCCTCACTTTTCATTTGCTGTGCCAAAGCACAGCCTGTACTTCAAATTATGAGGCTGTGCCACACACTTTCTACTACCTGTTAATATTTACATCTGCCACTTAAGCTCACACACACAAAAAATCCTCACTGAAGTAAACAGTTCTGTGTTTACATGATTTTTCTTCTTAGAAGATATTCTGCACTATTCTCTCTGTTTTGTTGTTAGTTATTGTGAGAACTAACTCAAACAGTTAGCACCTGTTACCTATGTTGCCATAGTCTTCTCTGGGAATGAGATCCCTTGCTATTCTTAGCATCAAAATTTATATCCTAAGGTGGAAAAACTCAAATCAAACATAGGGTTTCCCCTTTTGTTTGTGAACATCATGTAGCAGCTAATTAAATTGCTACAAATACATTTTTTCAAGTTCAGGGAACAATAAGCTTTCCCCTCTCCAGCTTCATATGCTAATCCATGGAAGACTGAAACAAACACCCTAAATCAAATGTCTTCTTTTTGTAAAGCTCACTAAAAGCTATAAGAAGCTTGCCTGATTCAGTTACAGGAGAAGAAAAAGTCCTGTCAATAAGGCTCGATGACTTCTGAAATTCACCTTAAGCAGTGTGAAAGTTCTATTCATCAAGCACTGAGCTGGACAAAGACTCAGAGGCCAATTACTAGGTATTTGTGCAGCTTAAGGAGTTTCTACAATGTTGTATATCAAAATTGGTGTATTTGAGCAACACTTTATTAACTGGAAAACCACACACAATTTACTCAATTACTTTAAAAGCTTCCACGGCTTCGATCACTAACATTGCACACCTTTAATAGACCCAAATGCACGTTTTTAAAAAAAATTTTTTTTAAATAATACTTCCATTAAAATGCTCTTTTTTCATGATAATGGAAGTATATTGGAAGAGCAGTAAGCTTATTTCAATCCCACTGTCCACTACTCATAAAAGATTCAGGTCTACCCAGCTCTGCCTCGACCACTGTAGGCTTTTGCGAGGGTGACAGTCAAGAACATGCAGAGCATTCACTTTTAAGTTTGAGCAGGTCTCCACTGGTGCTGTAAGGAGTCATCAGGTATCAACACTTATGAAATTCCCTATCAGGGACCCTTACTCGAATTATGAGAGGAATTCATACTGTAAGTGATAGGTACAAACATTACTGAGTTTAGTAGAATGCAGCCAAAGCAATACATCTCAGGCATTCCTAAACTGAATTTTAAGGTGGGTATGGGAAAAGAGATGCTCCTCTTTGGTATTTTAGGCTTTAGCATTGCAAAATAGACAGAAGGAAAAAGAACAAACACTCCCACTATGATACCTCAGGCTCCATGTGTCTTGGAAACAGAGATGTTGTGAGATATTTGTACAAAATTCTCATGTCATCTTGTTCCAGTCCACTCCTAGAACATCAAGTAGAGCAAGTGCTGTTTGTCCTGCAGTGCTCAAATCACACATTTTCCCCCAACCACAGGCAGCAAATCACACATGAAACTAGGGTAGCAACATTTCAGTGTCTCAGTAGATTCAGTCCCAGAATATTCATTTTTAATAGAATGGGGTTTGTTTTCAGGAAACAAACTAACATCCATGTTTGCTGTAAAATACAAGTCATATCTTCTGCTACTAACTCATATTTGATGTCATAATTACATAATGTAAGTACAAAGTAGTGGAATTTTTTTTAAAGTCTTTCCAAAAAAAAACTCACAAGATTTCTCATCCTGAAACACAGTGCAATTCTCTTATGATTTCCTCACACCCTTTGAAAAATAGAATGTTTATCTGCGAATGAAGCAGTATGCCTTGAACAACTGTGTCACGTCAGTAAATGCCCCCTAGATTAGCTGAAAAGTTAAGTTAGCATTGATTTTGCAAACTTAAATACTTGTCTTTGTTAAAAAAAAAAAGCTTCCCCCCAGTATTTTTCACAATGAGGGCTGGGACATATTAAAGAATAATTAAGTATCAAACGTGCTTTTTCAAGGCTTATTACTTTAAGTTGCCCCTGCAAAATTAAATACAGATCTATAAATTGGAACTTTTGCTTGGTTTGCTCTGGAAACTAGGTTAATAAAAGGCTCACATTCCTCCTTCCTCAATAACTTTTGAATCTACTTGCCATATTACTACCTAGTTTAAGAGCAGAGATGATAACTCAAAAGTTTCATAGACTTCACCTTAAGCAGTTTAGTAGGAACAAGACTCACATAGAAGTCCAATCAATATTTGGTAGAACTGGAAAGACCTAAAGTTATTGCAGGCACGGAGAGATTCATTGATTTTAGGAGACATAAAATAGAACTACAAGAACAGGCTTATAGCTGCTCCTTAGGGCTACTTGGAAATAATAATTTGGTACAGCTTAGAGATTTTTAAAGCAAAAGACCAAAGACTTTCTTCCACATCACTCTTCCTAGCATTCTGTTTTTGCATTTTCATGCACCTTGTTCACTGATTCAGCTTTACTATTATGGCACTTATTTATAGGATGATAATTTAAAAACACATAAAAGAAATTATCAGAGTACCTACCAGATAAGCTGATCATTGTAGAGAAAAGCAGTATATTTGACTATGTTCAAGCTTTCTTCCATCCTATTAATAAATGACTGAATTTTCAAGTAAGTCATTTTATCCAGTGGAAAGAAGCTGATTCCACAAAATACGTCCAGCAGATCGCAAGATTGTAAGTGCAGTGTCTGCAAGTACTAAGAGGATAATGACAGTTGTTTTTAGAATTCAGAAAAATTCCAATGTGTACATTTAAATGACAAATTTGAGTCTAATTCTCTGTAATCTAGACTAAAAATCCAAAAAATCCCTTCTAGTCCTGTTTGCCTGAAGTACTCCTTAATGTATCAGTGTGATCCAGATGTCAATTTACTACTATTTAATCAGGAACAACAGCTTTTAAGGCTAGCTCAAGATCCTTGGAGAGGACAAGAACACACAGCCCATCATACTACTATTTAATTTCAGAAATAACTCTGTAGTAATATTAGATCACAGAATAATTCTATGAAATATTTTCACTGAAATAGTAGATAAATACATTAGCTTGCAATGTGCAAAAGAAAATTTTTATTATTCTCTTTCCTGATACATTGTAAGCTTTACCAGTAGATTTTAAACACACTATCAGACACCCTGGTCTATGAAAGATGAGTTATCCAGTGGCTCCCTCTACAGTCATTTCACATTACCAAATACCAAGCAATAATACAAGCCCCGCTTTTGAACTTCACTAGTCAGCACTGCATACATTACCACCGTACTAGACTAGTAGGAAATAATCAACAACAATTAGTTTCACACACACAAGACAGCATAGCTAAAGCAAGTTGTTATCAAGTCATTACAAAGATCTTTGTCTACCTAGTAAAAAAAAATCTGCACTCAACCAAGTACATACACACATATTGAACTGCTCAGATCAATCTTTAGCTTTGCAGAATAATTTTATTGGCTTAAAAATTAGAGCTTGTTCTCATTCCATTTAGAAATGTGTATTCTTGTTCACATTTACATATTCCATGGTACTTACAGACAGTATGACAGATCTCTGTCACAGTTTATTATCTAAGTCTCATTTCCTTTCACAGTTTCAATGCAGACCAAGCCTGCTATCAGCACATAACCAATTCATTCAATAGGGTTACAACAGAGTAATTTGCATCACCAAACTTTCTAAGCATTTCTAATTCCCCAGCAAAAAAGAGAAACAACTTTTCCGTGGAAAAGTTTGTTATACTAATCTACTAATACTAATAACATACTAATAGTTTGTTATACTAATCTCAGTGACTACTGTTTTATCTTCAGTAGGAGCTTGAAAGGAAAACTAATGTTTTAAAGATGATCTATTACCTCCCTTTTTGCCATGCTGTATTTTTTGAATGCAGTCTAGACAAAAGTATACACCAGCAAATCAAAGAAGGACTCCCTGTGCCAACAGAGTGCATTCTAGGGTCTATGATAGCCTTACAAGAAACAAACATGCAAACAGAAAAATCCAAAACCAAGAAAAACAAAACAATACAAAAAAAAAAAGCCTATCCTAAAATCAGTTTGAATTGTACTTTTTTTTTTTTACACTTTTTTCTTAAAAGTTCATAAGAGAACAATTTTAAACATCAGTATGCAGTGTCTACACTCTTATCATTATCAGAGATAGCAATATTCAAATCTGTACAACGAGAACTAACTGCTGACACCAGCTCTCCATTTCCTTCCATGCAAATGAGAAGAATGGGGGCAGACAGACACTTGGCTGCTATCTTCTGAAGTCAGCTCGATTAAACTTTGCATGTAGGAACTCAAACTTTTGCTAGATGTGACTACTTTACATGAAAGTTAAATGAAAATATTTGATTGACTTCCTGCTCAGAAATAAGTTTTGCTTTCCATCCTTTTACTAAAGCGTTTGCTGTTCAAAATTGAAGTTAAATACTGAAGACAAGTTATAAACAAGGTTTATTTCCTGAAACCTTCTCAGGCATGACTGTTGATCCCACACAGAAAAAAAATATAGTTAAAAATCACAACTATCAATTACTTCACTGTGCTATGGAAAGTCAATGTCTGTGCATGGTGGTCGTAGAAACTCCAGCCCTGGATACTTTTAAGAGTCAACCAGCCAAAGCCACATGCAACCTAATTTTAATTCAGTGTTACCCTACTTCGAGCAGGTGGTTGAACTACAATAGCCTTTCTAGGTTCTTTCCAATTTGAATCATTCTTTAACAGTTTCTCAGATAGGTCTTCACAAATGATTATCCCACTAACCGATTCAAACGTTAAAGCAGAATTTCCAAAGAATTAACATGATTCCATTAGAAAAAAAAATATTCAATAGCTAAACTCTTCTATCAAACTACAACCCTTTTTGTGGTTCAACTCCTTTAAAGAAGTAGTAGGAAGCAGGAAGTATTTGGAAAGAACAAGTAACTAGGCTTTTTGTATTGTTGCTACATCTTTTCCACTGCTCATGTTTTAGAGATACACTGAAGCCACATAGAGAAAAGTTTTACTTTTTATTTCCAATGTAGAATCACACTGTATATGCCTGAAAAATAAAGTCTTACCCGATGGAAGAACTTCTCTAGTCTTTCCTTTAGAACTTTTACACCTCCATCTTCCATGGCTTTCACAAATGTGCCATTGAAAAGCTAGTGGTTAAAAGAAGTCAGTCAGATAATTTTGTAGTTACCTTAATTTCAAGTAACTCGACTATGAATATAGCTAGATTACAATACAGCTTCTGTGCCTCAGTACTTCAACTCCGCATAGATGCCAATTTACCCCTCCCTTATTGAAAGCTCCTCTCTCAGATTTGCAGACTCCAGGTATACATAGCAGCATGGTCAGAATTAGAGAAGGAAAACAAATTCTCCATTAGTAGAGAAGTTACTTACCGGTGTTGCTTAAACATCTTAATTCCTTATTTTCTAAAAGCCATTTTAATAGCCTTTATTCAGTATTGTTTCTCCAACAGATAATATAAACATCAAAAGCAAGTGCTTAGTGTCATAAATGTCCACGAAAGAAGAAATCTGGACTTCACGGAAATTAGAAGGCTCTTATTTTTACTGTAAGCTAATGAACTAACACTGGCAACTGCAACAGCTTTATTTTTTCTCTTCCATCACCACTATTACAGCTTCAGGAATAGTTATTAAGAGTTATTACTGCAGCCAACAGCAATGAGACAAGCATCTCAAAGCAATGATGAGCTTGCACATCCAAATAGTACCATAAGGATCTCTTTCTCTGCCCAGAAGTAGAGCCTCTGTATTATTAACTCTACCTTGTACATGCTGTAGCACTGCTGCAGGACCGAACTATAGACCTTATCCTGCAGAAAAAAGAGCAAGGCATTAGTACAAGCAGAGACAGTATTTCAAATATTCTTTTTGTGAACTACACATAACAAACACTCAAAGAGCAGGCACATGCACAAATTAGAGAATTTGGTCTCTGAAAAGTTAAATAGCATTTTCAGTCAACATCTAGAGATTTCTTCATACATATAAGATACTATTTCAAAGGGAGTCCTTCCCCCCTTTAATATCAAACATTATTAACTCAAGCACAAGATATCAGTCACAAATAGTGTATTTCCCTAAGGCCAGTGGTCAATTAAAATGAACTTATTTCTGACCGCTGTTCTCTTTTTCACATTCAAAGGCTAAAGGAGGTGGGACATCATAGCAAGTTGTTATTGGACTAAAATCTTAATGAAAAAAAAAGACTTTTATTGTTTGATGAAACAGAGTGACAACACCAATCTTTATCACAGGACTAAAGAAGTAACAGCATTAGTATGCATACTGTAATGAACAGAGGCAGCATAAACAACCACCTCTTTAAATATTATTCCAGCTGACCAAATGCCTTTCCTGCATACAATTAAACTGGCGTAAAGATACTGCAGTCTGGATGAGAAATCCCGTGACAGGTTTGAGCTGTTTGGCTTTCCAGCTTATTAGTAAAGATGACTGGTAGTCTTAAAGTTGTAAAACATGTACTTAAACCTAATAAAACTACATTCAAGAATCTTACAGATTCTTAAATAAAAATTAACAGATCCTAAGGAATACTTGCCCATTCCAATCAAAAAAGTCTCACAGCTGTGTATTTCACTGATGTTTTTTAGGTGATCTTGAACTGCTATTTAGATAATTCCCTGTCTTGCTGTCTTCTCTAAACTGTATTGAAAACTACTTTGTCTTTTTTCCATTTATGGCTATATGCATATTTTAAGTCAATTTGGCTGCAGTTCAATAAGAATCAAACTAAGGTATTTCTGGTGCTACTCTTAAAATGCAATAACTTATTTAAAAGGGGGGAGAAGGGAGAGTTCAGTATTACCAGTAATTCTTCTTCCTGATATTCATAGACTGGTTTTCCATCTTTGTGTTTTTCTATTATAGGGTTTCGTACAACCTAGAAGGTGGAACAGGCTGGCATTAGACAATGCAGAATGCATTGAGAACATTCTGATATGATGTTTTAGAAATATGCATATCATATGCATAAGTACCATGACCATCCAGAAATTCTCTTCAGGTTCATGGAAAAATTGTCTGTTCTTCTGTGTATGTAGGGATTTTGCAGGTTTTGTTGGACTAAAGGTCCTAGAAAGAAAACATTGATGTAGATATAGATATTTATATACACACACAAAAAGAAAACATATATGAGTGGGAAATTTTAAGCATTTTGTTTGTGCTAATACAATGAGTCATGCAGTCAGACTTTATACCTTGTGAACTGTACTATAGCTTCACACAGTCCCACATTTCTAATTTTTTCATTCTTTTCTACTTCATTTGGGTGATAGAAGAGAATCTTCTTTTCTTCCTAAAATTTAAAATAAGAATCAAAGCAAAATGCATTTTAACAGAATCAAAGTTAAAGAATACTCAGATCATGTTCTGATTGTTTTTAAACTTCAATCACAGTCTTTTAGGCAAAATTTTATCTTGTACCTAAATAGGCTTCTGTAATAACGGCTAAAAGTCATATTTAAGCATGCTTCAGCAGTCATCCCAAGACACTTCAAAATGGTTTATAAATTCCAAGGCTATTGAAATAACAGGCCACAACCACTTCACAGCTAGTTCAAAGCAAGGCTAGCTTCAAAGCCAGATCAAAGCATGGCTAGCTTGAAAGCTAGATCAGATTGCTCAGGGCCCTGTCCAGTCAAGTTCTGAGTATCTCCAAGGCTGAAGATGGCACAGACTTTCTGGGCCCTGTTCTGATGTTTGACCACTTCAACATGAAGAAATTATCTCATCAGAATTTCCCTTGCTGCAATGTCATCCATTGCTTCTTATCCTTCCACTGTGCCTCTTCGAGAAGAACCTGGCTCCATTCTCTCTCTAAGGGCCCCTCAGGCAGGTGAAGACAGCCACAAGACCCCCTTCCAACACATTCTGCTTTTCAGGCTGCACACACCCAGTTCTCTAAGGGTTTCCTGACACATCAGGTACTGCAGCCTCCTGACCAACAGGGGCTCTCTGCTAGACCTGCTTCAGTCTGTCAGTGTTTTTCCTGCTCTGGGAAGCCCCAGGGGACCACAGTGACCACAAACAAAGGGAAGTGACCACTTCTCTTGACCTGCTAATACACTCTCACTCACCAGCCTGGGATGCTGTTGGTTTTCACTACCACAAGGGCACACTGCTGATTCATGTACAACCTGTTGTTCACTAGGACTCCCTGATCCTGTTCTGCAAAGCTGCCTTCTAACCAGCCAGCCCATGCTGCATGAGATCGTTTTGTCCCACATGCAGGGCTTTGCATTTGCTTTTGTCGGACTTTGTGAGATTTCTGCTAGCTGTTTCCCCAGCTTGCCGAGGATCCCTCCAAGCAGCAGCCCTGCCCTCCAGCACATCAACAGCTTCCCCCCAGCTTCAAGCCATCCACGGACTCACCGAGGGTGCAGTCAGCCTCGTCAGTCACTAATAAGTAAGTACAGCCACAGCCCTGTGCAAAAGCACTACTAAATCTAAAGGCTATCACACTAATTGTACAATATGTTATTATCTAAAAATACAGATTCTGGCTTATTGAAATTAAAAATCACAGTGGCATGAGCACTGTAATGCTAGTGCTAACTAGCAATAGCTTAGATTTAGCTAAATTAATGACTGAGTTTTTTTACCAGATTATAGCGATTAAAAAAGGTATTTTAGAAGAAGTTAGCGCATGAGTAAAACACAGTACCTAACAGACCACCTGCAATATAATTTACATGCTACCACTGACAACATCTTGGTCACTGCTTTGCCTGAAGCAGGACACGGCCAGAGGAAGGCGGCCGCAGGAGCCAGGGGAAGCGGTAACCCCCCGGCCCCCAGGGCCTCTGAGAGGGGCAGCCGAGCCCCGACAGCCACCCCGGGGCCGGGACAGCACCGGAGGGCCCCCGAGCCCTTCTCGCCCCGCAGCCCCGAGCCGCGGCGTCCCTCCCTCCGGTACCTCTCCCTCTTTGGGCCCCAGCTTGGGGTTGTAGATGAAGAAACTGAGCAGGGTCGGAGCGAGCTGCTTCTCCTGGGCGGCTCCCCCCGCCGCCGCCGTCGCCATACCGAGCTGGAAGCGAGCGCGCCTGGGGCCGGCCGCCGCCGCCACACACCATCAGGGAGCAGCCCAGGGCCCTCCGCCGGCACCGGCACCAGCCCCACACCGCTTCCGCCTTCTCCCCCGCCCCGGAACGGCACGGCACGGCCCGGGAAGTGCTCCTGTGCCCGGCGGGACACGGCGCTCCGCAGCGCCACAGCCGGCGGAGAGAGAGAGGTGGGCGGCGCTGGGCAGCCCTGCCTCGGGCACGGCCCGGTGCTCTGAGGGGCGGCGGGGGTCGGGGAGCGGGGCGGGAGTCCCCCTCAGCGAGAGGTGATCCCCGAGCCCTGCTGGAGCCTCCAGCAGCCCCTCTGCAGGCGAGGGGTCCTGCCGGTTTGGACGGTGCCAAATCACCAAGCTTTTGGCCAAAGCTGCCCCTTTCTGAAGAGCAAAACCACAGAACGGTTCAGTTCCCTTCCACTCAAAGACGCCCAGTAGCTGAAAAAGTAGAAACGCCTTATTTCTAGGGTTAAAAAACAAGGTTTGAGAGATGAGATCCACAACTTTGAATATCTTGAAAGACATTTCGTCCCAGCATCACGTAGTGCAGGTAATCCTCTCTCCATGAATGGATGCATTACATTTATTCTGGTTATTTTATGTGTGGCACATATTAGGTAGCTGCATTTAACTCATTAAGCACTTGAAAAGCTTTTCTGTTACCTTTCAATTCCAAATTAATAAAATCTCAGTGTGAATTTATAAGTAGAGACAGATACATAGTGCCAGGCAGTGATGCTTCTCTTACAAGTATGAAGCTTGGGAATCAGAAAAAAAAAAAAAAAAAAAAAAAGCTAAGTTATGTAATTGCCTACTTAACCATCTAAAAAAGGTGTAAAAAATATAATTGCACATCTTGCACTCTTAGGTTTTTCATTTTCCACTTTGTCATTTCGGTTGCTCTTCTAGTTTCTATGTACTTTCAGTGCTAGTTATGTCATTCCAGATAGTCTAATCAGCCTCGTGAGTTGATTCCTGAAAACCCAACTTGGTGCTGAGTGAGCCTAGTGCAGAATAAAGATGATGTAAGACTGCAGTAATTTAATATTTAATCAGTCTGTACCCAAAAAGTGAGCAGTGTAAGCAAGAGAGAGAGGAATGCAATTTTCTCCAGGGCTGGCAGGGTCAGTTTTAGGTCTGTCTTGCATCCCAGCTGGGATGCTGTGTCTGTAACACAGCTGGTACCTAGACTGCTGCCTTCTGTAACCAAAGGGAGGCACAAAATGGTGAGGTATGCCTCCTGTGAGGGAGGGGAGGCACAAAACGGTGGTGTATGTGTCTTGTGAGGGAGGGGAAGCACAAAATGGCAGGGTGCACCTCGTGTGAGGGAGGGAAGACACAAAATGGCGGGGTGCGCCTCCTGTGAGGGAGGGGAGGCACCAAATGTTGGGGTGCACCTCATTTGAGGGAGGGGAGGCACAAAATGGCGGGGTGCACCTCCTGTAAGGGAGGGAAGACGCAAAATGGCGGGGTGTGCCTCCTGTGAGGGAGGGGAGCCACAAAATGGCGGTCCTGGGCTGGCTGTGAGGTATGGTGTGCCAGGCAAGCTGCTGGAATGAGGCCTGTAAGCCTGGCTTAAGGCAGTGTGAGCATGTGAATTCACGTGAAAGTAGTATGTGTGTGCAGGTTTGTTTTCCATGGGTGCGGAGCTCAACACTGCCTTGGGTGTGACCTCTCCTGCCTGTGCTCATGGTGTTTAACCCAAACCTCTTAAGAGCCAAGAAGCTCATGGTGTTGCGTGAACTGCAGTGGTTGGAGGGACACCATACTGTGCTTCCAGTCACTGTCAGCCAGGTCTTAAACAGCTGTAGGAAGTGTTTCCAAAGCTGCCAAGAGATTCTGATCTGTAATTTAACTTCATTTTTTCAGAGAGACAGTAGGTTAAAGTGACTTCTGCCCCTGGCCAGCACAAAAAGCAGGAATGGGAAGGTGCTGGTGCCATGAGGCCTACAGGATTGCCCTGAGTTCATGCTGAGTAAGTATCAGGCCATCTGCCTCAGGAGTAGGCATCTAAAAATGGTAATTCTAGCTTCCTACCCTACAGCTGTGAGCTAAATTTCAGTGCTTTGCTCAGATGTTGGAGTTATGGCCTGTCAGTTTAAAGGTTGTTGCACAGGTGAGACAATTTCTGGGAACATGCAGTCAGTACTGAATGTAGCAGTTAAAAAAAACAAAGGTTCCCCCCTGTTCATGGTGGTGGTGATTAGGGTAGCAGGCCAGAAAAGATAAATTTCTTTGTATCACTCACTTGAAGCAAAACATGAAAATCCTTGAAATTGGTGGTGTAAATAACAGGTTTATTTATTTCTTACCAAAGAAACTATAAAACCATGGTGACTGGATTTTGGTTTGGGTTGGGATAATCTTTTAGATGTGTGTTTGTTTGGGATTTAACTAAGATCCTGGTGTATGACTAGGATGCCTGTTTACTGCTGTAATACAAATACTGTTGCAAGGGATGAACTGTGGAGGCATGTATGGTTGGACAGTGGATACTTACTGTGACTGGTGATTGATAAGGAAGGTATTTCCGTGCCAAACTCCCTTTAGAAAGGGTATTAACATATCTGTAGTGATTGCTAAAATACAGTTCTGCTCAATGGAATCTCACATGTAATTTTATATCGTTCTTGGTGGAAGTATTTATGAGAATCTACAAAGAGGAAGTGATAATAGATTCAATTAATTTAAATTATTACATCTCTGATATACAAATTAACAGGGTGGGAAGAAACTTCAATTGTGGTTCCAATTTCATCCCATCTTCTTAATTGTATGTGCAGTAACACCACACCTTGGCATTTGCAAAGTGGCATCAGATCTCCCTGAGTTTGAAATGTGATTCCTAGCCCATGATTACGTAAAATTAAACTGCTGTATAAGTACTTTGGAAATTTGACAGGACAACCCCAGCATCAAGAGACAAATAATTAAGAACTTTATTAGTGCTTTCCAATTTATATTTAAAAAAAAAAAACACCAACAACAAACAAGTTGGAATAAGGAATAGTAATATCTTCAGCATCGTACAGTCATACTTTTTGGTTTGTTGAGCCTGTTTCTAGGTACTATTTTGAGCATTTCCATCAGCTGCATAGTAACAGACTTAACAAAAAGGTATGCTATCAATCACTCTGGGTGTTGGAGCTGACAGCTGTAAGTAAATACAGCTGACAGCTCAAATAGCTGTTCCATTGACAGTATGTGGTCAAAATGTGTTAACAAATGTGTGGACTCAGCAGTTTGGGATTAGTTTCGCAAATAAATTACAAAATAGTGCTGTGATCCAGCAAAAAGCACAATGGCTGTGTATCCCTACTCTGCATGCTTTGTTAATTCTGTACCAGGCCTTTGTAGCTCTGTGTGAAAATGTAACACTGCAACGAGACGCGAGGGTCCTGCCTTTGCTCTGAAGAGTGTTGTTCATCTCCCCCAGATTTGCTCTTACTGTGGTGTCAAGGAATGCAAGAAGCTATTTGAGTGTCACGGTGAGTAGAGATGGTTTAATAACAGTTGTGTACGCTTTGCAGAATCCAAGATTCCATAGTGGAAGGTAGTAAATTTATACTAGTTTTGGTTAAGGATGCAGAGTCACTGAATAGCAAAAATAAATAAATAAATAAAATAAAAATCCTACTTTCATGAAAAACTGGAGATATTCAAATGTTTTGATTTGTTTAATGTGCTAGGAAAGCCTAGGCGTTGTCAGTAGACTGAATCTGTAGTACCCATGAAAAAAGAGCTGGGAAGAGTGGATGAGGAGGGGGCTAGGCAGGTAAAAGGATTTCAGCACTGAAGACGATTAACAGTAATATGTTAGCTGTTTCCCTGCTGATCACAGCAAGACTTGAAAGAGAGAGAATTACATGAGGAATTATGTCATAGTTTGATGCATTTAAAGCATGGTATTGTGTTTTTTCTTTCCATGCTGAGAGGTTGAATAGGCCACTGTTTATTCTTTTACATTTTATATTTAATTTTAACTGTTCACAGACAGGATATTTTTACAGAGTATTATGGTGTAAATAATGTAAACATGCAAAGGAACTAAAGAGACTTGTATTCTTGCTGGAATCATAGGTATTCTGGTATTTCCAAGTATTTTCTAAAAATGTATTTTTATAGTTGTATCCAGTAAAATGTTTTAGAATATAATTTACAAGTGGCAGTTCTGATAACTAGCTGCAAATTTTATTGCAGTCTGTAAACATGATTGTTAGTTGTAGCTGATTTCTGAATGCTGTCTCTGGTCAAATCTTTGTACTGAATATGCTTGATAAAGGCAGCCCTTATTTCCATTTCATTTATTACAACAGTTGTAGAAATTAGCTGCTCATGTTCTTCGGTGTGCACCAATAGCGTGATAAATAATGCAACATACTGTGTCCTTACAATATGGTAAAATATTTTTCCTTCTTTGTCAGTCAGTAGACCCCTGTGTGGGAGCTTTCTAAGTTACAACTCCCTCCCTGCTTGAAAGCAATCAGAATTCAGCGTACCATGTCTATAGAATGAGGCTTAGCTATGACACTTTGTTTTAGGCCATGGAGCAGAACGGTATCTCTGTCAATGAGAAAATCCAATTTGAGATATCACTTTCATGTGTTTTACAGACAAGGCCAACAGCATTTGAAAGTATGATTTAGCACCTGAGGGATCCCAGGGAAAGTGATAAGTTGATTTTACTTTAAAAGTTTCTTGTATTTCAGAAATCCCACGTCAGAGAATTTCCCTTTAATTAAAATGCAAATTCCCACAGAAACCAGTAATCTGCTGCAGTAGCTACTGTACTTTGGTACTTTCAAGGTACTTTTTATGTGTGTGTGTGATGGAAATGTGTGGAAGGATTCCTTTAACTGCGGTACTTGGGGTGCTAGAGATATTTCAAAATAGCTCAGAGTAAGTGACTTGCATCTTTCTTGTTTGGTACTGACTTGTATCGAATAATAAGCTATAAACAAAGAACTGAGGCATGTTTCAAGCTAGTAATGATGCACAAGTTTCTAATAAAGACTTTACATATAAATTGGGTAAAAGAAGATACATATCAGGCTAGTGGCCAAAAGATGCTTCCCTAGTCTTTTTGTTGGCATCTTGATTGGTCTTAAGTTTTGTAGCTCAGAAGTTTTACAGGAACTTCTAATGCAGATGACTGTAATATATTCTGTTTTCTGGAAAACGAAGAAAGTTCTAATTTCACTGAAAAACTTGTTTTGGGTCAGGGCAGTGCATAAATCTTCTGTCTACCTCCTGTCCAGCGACTGGCTCCAGCAGTGTGTTGCATCTTAGTGGAGAATAACAGAATTTGTACTTTGCCTCTGGGTTTCTTTGTGTAGGAACATGATGAGGAGGCTGAGATGTTGAGAGGAGATACAGAGTGCAATGGCAACTGGAAACTTTTTTGTTTTTACATGCATTTTCCTGCTTAATGTAATATGGTTAGTCAAGGTCAGGAAAGTTAATTGTCAGTGAAATGGAGAATGGTTTGTAACTTACATGTGATCTAGTCCAAAACCCTTCTGTCACCAGGCTGGTTTTGTTGCCAAGAACAAATTTTATTTCTTGTGAATATCCTGTGACATCCATCTTATGCTATCAGAATCTCTCCATGGGTCTGATCCTTACCTCATGTAAATCTGAGTAGCTTTGTTTGCTTTGTTTAAGTCCTTGATACTCCAGGGAATTTTGGCAGGTGAGAACATTTCTTCATGTTCAGAAAGATTATTTAAATTCAGTATTAATTTTTTATCAGTTTGTTATTATTATTTTGCACAATAAAAGGAAAAATCTCACAATTGCTTTAAATTCTCACATATCCTGAGTATCCCAGTGTATGAATAACTAAACTAAGGTGATTTAAAACATTTTGAAATGGGACAAAAAATCTATTTTTAACCATCAGCTGTTAAGAGATGTAGGGTAATGTATACATGTTTAAAGCAGTAAATTTTTCTGCCTGGTTCTTCAGTGCTTGGCTCGCAGAATATTCGTTGGCTGTAGAGAAGGCAATAGAGGTGAGTACTCAAGGATGAATCATGATTGCGTTTGTGCTGCTGTCTAGTGAGAAAAATTAAGTGTATTTAAATGTTTTTGCTTCAGTGATGAATGCGTTTGAGGCTAAGAGGAATTTCTCAATTACTATTATGTTAGGCGACATAGCCCAGAAATACCAGCTAGAATACGTTGGAGCTTTCTCAACGTGCATTTCTACAAGTCTTTCCTCCACACTTTTAGTCCTCCCTTTGAGAAAGCTTAAAAAAAAAAAAAAAAACACAAAGAAGGACATATTTTGCTTCCCCTCTATTTTTTAAAGCCTTACAGTTTATATGAAGCCTCAAGTCCACAGAGGCATTTTTCCTTTTTTTAAATTCTTTCCACATGAAAACATATGATTTTTAACTTCTCTTGGTTGGTTAATGTAAAAAAAAATACAGCTTGAAACTGCAACGCTCTCATGTAGAAACCATTTCCTAGGCAAAAAAAAAAATAATTAAAAAAAATACTGCTTTTCATTTTGAAGTCAACAAGAGATGACTCTTCACCTACCTCCTAGTTATGTCTGAGCCCCTAGTCTTGGCCTAAGAACTGAGGGTTTTGAGGACTTCAAGCTTAATACAGAAAGTCTATTGTAGAGAGAACTCCCACTGAGTTCAATCAGATCTATATATGAGGCTCAGATAAGATTAAGATCTTTGAGAGATTAACACTTTCTGTTTAAGAATTCATATGTTTCCATTTATTGTTCAAAAAAACCAGACAAGCTGCAGTAAGTAATTATTTTTATTGGATATTTTTTAAGTGTCTGGTAGAGTTTAGAACATGGTAAATGGTCCACACAATGAAAAAAAAAATCATGAATCAGTGTTTCATTATATTATTAAGTCAGTGAACAAATAACAGACACTGTCAAGATAAATACATAAGGGACTGCTGATTTTCAAGGTTTCGGAGTTTTTCTTGCAGGTTCATCCCAATTCTATCCTGTTTGGTCTTTTTGAACCTCTAAGATTGCACCATTTCCTGGAATTCTGTGAAAAATAAGGCAATAAAATAAAATATTAAAAAATAAAATAAAAGGATTAGGAGGAAAAGATTAATGGCTTATCAAGAGATTTAGAATCGAAATAGACAGAAAGCAATTACCTGATAAATGATCAGAATGGAAGAAACTTGCATGCAAGAGAGACATTGCCTAAATTTCCTGTTTAGGCAGACAAATTTAATTAATCAAACAACAGATTGGAAAGGCAGTGATTTGCTGACATTTATAAGGAATAATAAGTGCCCAGGGTAGTTCTAGCCCTCTCTGCCTAATAGTTATTTTTGGCAAATTTAATGGAATGGCCAATGTAGGGTCAGAATAAACAGACCTCAGGCAGGATTAAACATGAATCCTTGTGTCTTACTAGCTGTTTGTAGTGCTTCAGCAGTTGAGAACTATTGATTTAGATGAGAGGATAAAGCTAAAAATGTGTGAAGCTTCATGTGGTATTGTGGTGTTCAACAAGATACCAGCATTAGAAAGTTTTTTTTAAATGTCTTCTGTGAGTTAAGAGCATCTGATCAATCCTGTCCCAGAAAGACTCTATTAAACATATAGATCGCTTCATAAATCATGTGTGGTTGTTCTGGCATGTTTCCTAAGGAACTGGATTTAATTCCTTCCAAAGAAGGAACAGAAGAGTCCTGTGCCCCTGGCGCAGTGAGTTGGGCAATCCGCACGGCAGCACATTCCCTGCGTGCCCTTCCCTAAATGCCTTTCACGCCTGCTGGGCAGCTTGCTTCTCGCGTGGGACAAGCTGCCGTTGGCTCCAAGCCTTTTTAGTGAGCATGTGCTTCCTATCCAAAATGAGACCCAGAAGGACAGTGTTAGGAGATGGTGAGGTTTTTGTGCTGAGCAGCCATTAAACCACAGCAGTGTTTCCAGGGGGTGGGTGCAATCTGCTGCTTCCTAAAACAGCCGCTCCTTATCTGATGCGTAGCCTGGCACTGGAGGTAAATAACCTCCATCTGCACGCACAGCCTTCTGTGGTATCTCGTGTCGGGGCGGTGACACTCGATCATGCTGTTCTCCTTATTATGCAAAAATAATAGTCAACTGCATGCTGCTAGCTCCTGCACATTTAGAGTGATTTCACTGAAACTAGTAGAATTCCTTTAGGGAGATACTGCTGTACATGAGCCTTTGTACGTGCTGGTGATTCTGCTCTGCAGGGCTGGCTCTTTTGTCCTCGTTTCACATGCGTGTAGCACGAGTGAACTGGTGATGCTTTACATCAGAGTAGGTGGGAGGAGAAAAAGGGAGCTGTTCCTTGCAAAGCAACTGGAAATCTATCAGTGGCGGTGAGGAAGCTGGGTAGGGTTTTTTTCTTTTCTTTTTGACTTACTCATGCATGAGGAGTTGAAGAGATGAAGCTGTAAGGTCAGGGACCAGTTCTGCACTCACACAGGTCAGTACTGAGAGGGTTTCAGCAAATTAACTGGAGGTACATTAACGTGCCGTCAATATAAAAGAATCACGCATCACTTACAACACACCTTGAGGATCTTAGTTATATATGGAAATAAATACCTTCAGCCCCAATTTTACCATCCCCATCGTGGTCTGCAGCTGCCAAGAAAGTCTTGGTTTCTGAGGCAGTTAACACTCGGGCTCCACATTCAAACCTCTGAAGGAAATACCTAGGTGGGAAGCACCTTTGATTATGATTTTTCAGGGCATACAATTTTTTGTTGGCTGTATCATCACACTGATAGCTATCTGTAAATAGATTATCTACTACAAACACTGGAGGGTAAATTTTCTTCATGTACAGTTTTGCTTTGTAAGTCCAGCCCAGATACATTGAATTCTGCCCACTACCAAAATCCAGCCCCAGGGAGGTGTTGGTTTTTTTTTCTGTACTACGCAGTAATGACAGGTATTTACTAATTTGTCTTTGACTGTCAGGATTGTCTGCTCAAATGCACCATCCACAATCTGGTGAAGGGTTTATCAATATTAAGTATAACCTGAGGCACCCCTTTATGGAACAGTTCTGGAAAGAAAAAAGTGGTAATTTGTGGATAGGCTCTTACTAGGCAAAGTAACCCAGAAAATCCTTACTTGAGCTCATCTTCCTCGATAAAGCCACTTTGGTCATTGTCAAGAATCCGGAAGATCTCCTTGAGCTGGCTGCTGGTCTTTTTAGACATCCCACTGATCTGAAAGAATTTTTTGGGACTAAAGGAATCTGGAGCTGAAAATAAATTAATAAATAAATTAACCCCAGACCACTATGTTTACTGCTCCTAAATGGTCTGAGGATGCAGCTTTGTTACATTTTAATTGTTCTAAACATGAACAGTAGGTGAAGGCTGACAAAGAATACATTTTGCTATACTGCACAATGCCCAGGTAAACATCAAGAAATCAGGGCGATAGGTTACAAACAATCTCAAACCACCCACAAATTGAAATCTCATGAACAAATGCACTGTGACAGCTGCTACGGAAAGAGACAACAGAAGTCTGTTGAGTATGTGCTTGTTCAGTATGCTTTTGGGACTGAATTAGACTTGCCATGTGTTACAGAAAATAATAGATTTTTAGAGTTTTAATTGTTTTCTCACCTTGGCAGTCCCGCAGAGCAGCAGCAATGTCAGAAGGGCTTAGAATGTCTGTGAGGCTCATGTTAAACCTGTTCAAAATAATATATTGCAAACAGATTTATGAAATGCAACTGCATCTTACAACAAATTGTTTTTTCTATGTTTTGAGGAATACTGGTTAATGATTTCTAAAGTTAGATGAACCTATTTGATCAGACTGAAATTGCTGCTGTTCCTAAGCAAATTAGAAGATCTAGTACGCTACTTCTGTAAAAATAGTACTGCTGAAATAATACTTCTAAATGAGATGGAACGCGTAAACAGTATTGTGAGTTGATGTACAATTTTAAAATCTTTTTTAAGCTATTACCTGCATCCTGGTTAAGTACATCATATTAAACTCAATATTGCCATCAATCTATCAATGACTCTTACTGAAATACATGGCAGTTGGCAATACAAATAACAGTATAGACAGTGGGGGAAAAAATAAAGTCAAGAATGTTTGCTTCTGTTTTCTCCCCCACCAGCTCTGAAGAATAAAAAGAAAACATACTTATCTACAGATGGTCCATCCACATGTAATTCCAGCAATCAAAATCTTAGAGCAATGGGTATTGTACTTACTACTGGTGCAGCTCTACACAGTAACATCATTTAACCAATCTCAAGTCAGCTGCTCACCTTTATAGTTTGCTCAGCTAGGTAAAGGAAATAGAGCTGAGGAGATACCAGGCAAAATAGTATTGTTGGCTCTGGCTTGCCACTCCGACTTATAAAGGATTCAAAAGGTGACAATAACCACTACTTAGGTTACTGTTTCATGGATCAAATGTTAGATTTGAGACCTAGCTCAAATTTCTTCCTTAACTAATTAAACTTTTCTTTCTATTTATATCCTAAGATAATATGGACAAGAAGTGCAATGTTTTTAATAAATCCACTTGGGATTAATTAAGTGTGACTCTGCCATCAAAATATAGCCTTTCCAACTCCAAGTGTGCTAAAGATTTTCAGTTAACCTCTGGACGCTCCAGTTGCTTGCTGGAAGTTGACTCCAGCAGTCAAAACCTTATGAAATAGAACTAGGTTGGTTTCCTGAAGTCAGTCTGTCCTTTGGAGCACATAAAAGAAGTTGGAGATGAAAGATTTGAGGTGACAGTTCATCCTGACAAAGATAACTTGTCACTGGGGTGGAGGGAAGTGGGGCATAATTTAGGGGAATCTTTCTACAGTAGGCTTCATTTCATGTGTCCTGTTTTCTAAATTACAGAGCTGTCCCTAGTCAGGGCTAGAACAGAAACCAGTGCATTCCTTGATGGCACAACCAAGTAACTAAGCAAAGATGAATAAACTAATGTTCTTAATCTGTATCCTTGGAAGATTATGTATAATCAGTTGTTCTTAATAATTTATTTCAATTATTTTAAATTATACAAAATCAATAATAGATTTACTTTAAATCATAGGAATCAGACTTTGCTATTGTGGTGCTTTATGGAATGTGGTGCTTTTACTCATTTATTTAATGTCAGTGAGAGAAGTCAGGCATAGCATCTGTTTATGTGAAGCTGGATAGAGAAATATAAATCACAAATAACATGAGAAAGCAAACATCAGTTAATTACAGTTTTACCGTTTTTTGATATCTCTTTTGTACAAAAAAAAAAAAGAGGTATAAATCACAAATAATCAGACATAATGATAAAGCATCCCAAATACCAGCTGCATAGAAGAATGCTTTCTTCTATTTCTTTCAGTATGAAAACTGTTTATAGTGACCTGGAAGGACTCCTTCCTATTAGATATAAGAGGCTGAAGCCAATTAGAATTGTCTGAAGAAAACCAATTGAACAATGCTAATTTGTGTATATTGAAGATCTGATCTCAGGTCTCTTAATGTTCTTTCCATTTAATGTTCTTTCTTTAATGTTTCCATTTAATGTTCTTTCCTCTTTGCTTAGTACGGTGTGTTCATATTGCTTCCTACCTAAGATTTGCATGCTGTTATAATCTGCAGTAGGAATGAAGTGCATACCTGCTTTCTGCAGAACTACTTGGAAATAATTCCCATCCTTCTATGTACATTTTTACACTCCATTGTGAATTTTCTCCTTTATGTCCATCTCATGTTAATAAGAGATTTCACAAGTCTTCATAATGCTTCCCTTTGACGTATTTTATAACCAAAATGTTTTTACAGGAAATGATGTTTTGCCCTCTGTAATAATGGTATTGATTCTACTGAGAACAGAATTTCACTGCTGGACTTTATAGTAGCCTTCCTTTATTTTTACTTGCTCCTACACGCTGCTTGCTGAGCTTCTAGCTGTGTGTAAATCTTTGATTTGTCATACTTCACCAATTATTAAAAGCCAGTGTTATAGAGGAAAATGAGATGAAGGTGAGTAAATAATACTCAAGTTCAAAATATGTCTGCAACTTATTCAGGCATTGTATTAAAGTGTAAGCAGCAAATGCTCAAAGAATGGCCTTGGGTTAGCTTATACTCTGTGTTGTGGCATACAGGGTTCTGAAATGTTTTTACATGTGGCATAGAGTATTCAACAACAGTAAAGTAATCAGAATGATCGTTGTATTAAAATATGATGTCAGATAGAAGTGAGCTAATTGCTACAACAGGGTCATTATTATTGCTTATTCTGGGATATTGTAACGTTTGAAATTCAATGCTGACAATGGAAGCAATGCTAATCCTGCCTGAAAGATGATTTACAAAAGCCTAAAACAGCTGAATTTCAGAATCAAGTTGATGTCACTGTATATTGATACAGGTGAGAATCTAGAGTTACTGGTATTTATTTATTCATTAATGAGACTGCATCTGAAGTACAGGTTTCCCTCTACTACAATTAGAATGAAATAATCAGGGATGACTATATTATATAAAGGGATATCTTAACTAGTTAATCTGTTGTACAGCAAAACTATCTGCCTGCTTTCCTTACTTCTGGGATATGTGTTAAATTAGTTGATTGTAATCACTGTAGAGGCTCAAAAACTAAGAACTGTAAACAAAAATGTATATAAGATAATGTGCAGGAAATGTAATGCTATAGAAAAAAAATACTTATTCCACAAGAAGAGCAGCTGCTAGGTAATGAGCAGTTTACAGTAGTGCAAAATCTGATACAGAATCTGAGTATTGCAGTTTTCAGGAATGGTTGCACTTGTTCCTGCAAAGTACAAGGAAAAAATATTTATTTTGTTGTGTTTGTTTGTTTTTGCTCTACCAGGGAGTTTTGGAAGTGCTGTTGAGCTTTTCTTCCTAAGATTTATGTACTTCCATAACTTACTTCTGTTGTTTTCCTCCTGAGATGTCTCTGCATGCATTATGCATTACAGGAATATTAGTGCCTTTTTTGTTTGTTCGTTTCAAACCTCTAGAACTGAACTTGAAGATGTAGTTCTGAAAAATAAGGAATGTTCATATTGATAAGTTCTTGGTAGGAATCTTCTACTTTTCACCTTGAAATAAATTAATTTTCAGTGAAATCTGACAAAAACAAAAAAAAAATCAAGTACCATTAACTAATTCACAAAGGAAAGTTGTATTTCAGTAAATAATTGACAGATTGTGGACTAGTTTTGTACTCTTTCTGTTCTGTTTGGTATAAAGTACAGTTAATCGGAAAATCAACCCAAGACATGACTTGAAGCAGATGCAAAGTAATGTCAGGAGTTGTCTCAGATGAGATCAGAGGAGAGGTGTTAACCTGAGACCTGCTACGGTAGTGTAAAGAGATGCTGTAGCAGCTGTTCTAAACCCCAAACAATTCCATCTTTCAGCCCTCGTAGCGTTAGGGCTAGAACAGTTGTATCATGATCCTGGATAACAGAGTCTGCCTTTGTAATGAGCTTGGAAGTAACTAAAACAGATACTCGTCGACCTATGTGGTTGGTCATGAGTGCTGATGTCTCAGTGGTGATGGCAGAGAATCTCAGTGTGAATATAGCTGCTCTCGCTGGAAAGGGTCTCTGCAATGACATGTGTTACATCTTGCTGCTTCAAGATGTCTCTCAAAGTACATGCTTTACTTGTATAGAAAAAAAAATACAGAATCTTATCTGAGTGGTCTGCTGGGTCATAGCTTTTACCACATTTAGCAGAGAGGTTTAAGAACATGGTTTATTATCTGAGTTTTATTCTGTACTTCACATTATTACAATGAACGATGTAATCCAGGCCTCAGAAGCCTCAGTGACAAAGGTTTTTTTTCCTTTGCAGCAAGCAGAGGATATTACCCTGAAGACTGAGCAGAGATCTAGACTGTTGAATCCAAGATACAGGACACATCCCACAGCACCGTGGGTCTGGAGCTAAACAGAGACAGGTATTCCTTGTGTGTTAGGAGCAGTATCGTGTGCACTTTCCCCAGTTCAAGTTATGTCCTTATCATTGTGTGTAAATGAGAAAATTTCAGAATGATAATATGCTAATATTAATAACATAGCTAGTTCATAGAGATGGCTATGAACATAATACTTTTCCACTTAAAAAGCTGTCCTGGAAGATCTCTGCTAGCATTATATATGCTATGTGCTTGTCTTCAAATGCACTTGCAAGTGCTTCTGTGACTCAGTAACACTATTTTCTCATTGTGACCCTAAACATAATCATCTAAGATGGTTTTGACTGCTGTCGGCATTGTAGGTAGTATGAGATGGACTGATCTTTGAAAATCTAAGGTGTTCAGATTTTCTGTGTGTTTTAAAAGTAACTGTGCCCTAAGGTTAAAGACTGTCAAAGAATCTGGATGCTGCCTTTTGTGGCCTGTAACAGATCTGTACAGCAGTACTATACTGTTACCAAAGGCCTTTTACACATGGATGTATTTCACTATGACCCACGGAGTACAAAGCCACAGTAAAATAAAGCAAATAACACTGAAGTGTTTCCAGCTATTTCTGTGTTTCCTGCCTCTCCACATTGGTATCAGTGGGATTTCTACAACTGACTTCAGCAGTAGTCAATGATATATGAATGTTGTATATGAGGATGTACCCTTAATAATGTATAAAGTAAAAACTACCCTATAAATCAGTTAACCTTATCACAAGCAATCACTGAATGTCATTTGTGGAACAGAAGTGCCCTTCTAAGTAGAGGGGAAGCAGAACAAAATTCCATTGACAAAAGTTGACTGCATATTTAGACTGGTGGAATAAGTTGCATAGAAATACCTGCTGGATATGGGTCCATAGTCCAGACCTAAGAGTTTATTACTCCACTTCACTTAAGGGAGCTGACTGGGAATGCATGTTTATGGTCACGCAGTGTTTTCTCCAGTTGTGGCCTTATAGGTGCAATTTGAAGAACTTTTCTTAAAGCACAAGATAAACAGATAAAGGCTTTCCACAGTACCTGACAGCCTGTGTGAGTGAGAGACAGGGAGTGAAAGAAAGAAATTAAAAGAAAAAGTGAGTATTCTGGTAAACAGAAACAGCATTTTCTCTGCTGATCTGTTTCGTGGTAATGCTGAAAGCAGGGAAGTTCTAAAACCCTAACATTCTGGAGCGATCACTGAAGCTGTTATCAGACCTACCTCATCATTATTTTTTTAGTGTCCCTAATAGAATGGTAAGTGGTGAAGTTATTGTAGATTTGTATAGACCTGGCAGAATAGTCAGCATGGAAGTAAGTGTGCTTAAATAAAGGAGGTGCCTGAGCTGTCTGTGCATTTCTCTCTCTTAGCAGTTAAATTGGTACAATGCTTGAAGAAACTCAGGTGACCCGTGTTACATGCTGAAAACATAAAACATAATATTAGATGAGATGCATAGCATTTTCTGACAATGACAACTTTTAGCCTTGCAATCAGATTGCAGTTACTAATTCCTCGGAATTTCATTAGTTTATTACTCTCCTGAGATGCCACTGAAATAACAAATGTGAATTTGTTGGATGGGTAATTCTTTTTTCACTGTTCAGGAAATTTCTATAAAATTAGGGCCTTGATTAAATTCATTAAAGTTAATGGAGAGATATCTGTTGGCTAATCAATAAGGCATGAACAAATTACTGAGTATTCATTAAAGTCATGTATCATGCTTTAATTTTCGGTAGTGTTGTAATTTCCCCAGCATTATATTGATCCCCAACATCGTATTAATATTTTCCTGCTTCTCTGTAATGTCTTGCCATAAGCAGGTTATGCATCAGTACCATTATAGCATTAGCACATAATTTTGAAATTACGATTTTGGCCCACAAGTACTAAAACAACTTCTTAAATAGCTCCAAGAAATGCCATCTGAGACAGTCAGACAGGTTTTGGCAAGATTAATGCCCAAAGAAGGACCTTGCAAAGAGTTCCAAATCTTTTCCTTTCCAAATGGTAAAAGACAGGTTTATTTTGTCTGTGTGTTTGTTTTTTAGAGGGGTGTTTGTATTCAAATTATTTTTACCGTATACGTAAGTCTAAAAAGAACATAAAGACTGTAATGCCTAGGTAAGTACTGATAGCAATTAGATAACTTCTGTAACCTAATTTGACAGCTGTGTGTATATTATGGCAAAATTGTAATAACATCATCACACTCCTACATTTTAACAAGAACCCTAATGTAGACAGTGCTCAAACTGGATGAAGTTCAGTTAATGTGAAGTGACTGGAATTCTGCATTTTTCTCATTCCTTATTTACTTCTTGCTATTTCAATCTGTCTGTAAAGAAAAAAAATATCTTAATTTCATAGTAAGCTTTTTCTATGGTGCCCTTCATTTTACGACACCTTCTTCACAAATATTTATGCATTTACTTACCTTATGAGGTGTGGACATTGTGTTATGCTCAGTTATGAGATGGAGAAAAGCATTGATTACTCTGGGACAACATGCCCCAATTTGTTAATATGGAGGCTGGGACTTGAGTTTTCAAAGTGCTTTTTAGCTACTGTATCCAAAATGCAGCTCCCTTTGCCTGCAGTTACACTTCTGAGGGCTGGAAAACACTTTTCCTTCAAGAAGGTTTCTGGGGAAAAATTAGCAATTTAGAATTGTGGTAGCAATTAATACTCTTTACCTTGATCATACAAGAACTGATTGTGGTATAAATTCTGTTGATATGATTAAAAGATGCAGAATCTCTGTTCTGGCTGTCTGTGTGCAGACCTTTGAGTCTCATACTGAAAGAGAGAGGAACTCTGGGCTCCTGGCTCTGTGCAGGTGGACCCATGTCATGCTCCTTTGTTTCTTGGAGCAATGATGTGTAACAAGCTAGTAAATACAGCTGGTATGCTTCATATGTGATCTGCCGACTAACTTGTCTAGCACAGGGGATAAGAAAGGGCCTTGCACATAGGATTTGCCACAAAAGGGAATTCAGTGTCCTCAGTGGACCCATCAAAAAGTATTCTGATGCAAACCAGCACCACAGACCTCACTTCTGACTTTCATCTAGTTCCCAGATTCTGAGGGACAGGGTCCACTCCTTTGTGAAACAAAAATTTTATCGTTCTGTGTTCAGGGATAATTTAATCTGGCAAAACTGAGTCATAAACATAAGCGGACAAACGGGATACTAGTAATTGAGTTAATTCGAACAGAATACTGATTTTAACTTCTTTCAAGTGGAGCAATAGTGCCATCAGGTGGACGTGAAGATGAGTTATTCCTGGCAGAATTGTAAATGTATTTCTGCTACAGTAATCTGGATTCATCTTGATCCACTTGATCTTTTATTAAAATTAACAGCTTAATTAACACTAAGTTCTGTCATTTAATTAGTTTATGAAGCATAATCAGTTGCATAAAGAATGACGTAAAAACATATGGTTTATTAAATACATCTCTTGAATATGCAAGTATAATATCACCAGTTAGCATAATCAATTTTTATACCCAGAAATTTTATTAATTCAAGTTTTTTAAAGCATTTGCTAGCTATTATGCATATGTTGAAAATTAAATGGCCCACAGAGATGCTTTTAATTCCTCCTGCTCTTAACATTTTTACTAGGGTCTGTAAAGACCAAAATTCAGATGAACAGAGTGGACTCCCATTCAGTCTCCCAGTGGTATAGCGAGCTTCTGCTTAAAACATTGGGGAACATTGTTTAAGTAGTACTTACGCTCTTATGCTACTTCATATGTTTTTTAGCAATATGTAGTCACGCGCCAATAATTGCTCGTGACCTTTCAAGGTACCAAATGTATAAATAAATAATGTGCTTCCAATGGGAAAGACTGTTCTTGGCACAGATCTTAGTCTTTTTTTTTGAGTGTCTGTTAAGATTTGATGAGGGCTTGAAACTCTGAAAAAGAAAGAAAAGAACAATAAAATGACACCATACGTTATAACTGCATCTTCAGAAAAAGTATTTTCTGTATCTCTTATCTGATAATCATTCCTTAAATGTACCACATTGTGTACTCATAATAGATATTTAAAACATAAGAAATGTTGCATTTAAGTGTCATATCAATAGTTCAATAACAAAGCAATGAAATTATATACTAAGTTTTTATAAATATAAGTTTGGATTCCAGTCCTGAAATCTCTGCATATGAAAAAAGGGACTGACTACCTAGAGCTGTGGGCAAAATACAAACACAGTCCTGTGTTAAATCCTTTTTACGATGGAGCAGAGCTGAGCACCTGAGAATTGGATCTGTAACAGCCAGTGTAGGGAGCATGGCAGCTGCCTAGAGCTAGTCACTAGGAAGTCCCAACAGCAGGTATTACTCCATTCCATAAAGGGAGTCTTACCATCCTCTCCAATTTTACCATCTCTATCCCTGTCACCTGCTGCCAGGAATGCCGTGGGCTCAGCATCAGTCAAAGCTCTGGCACTGGCTGAGAAGTTCTGCAGGAAAAGTCTTAAAGATGAGAGGAAAAAGACGTGAGACATACTTCAGTCATGAAAGCATTTGGAGTTAGTTGTTGGTAATAGCTGTAAAAATTTAAGCCTGATTCAATCCTTCCAACTATTTCAGAATTTCTTTATGAAATCCTTTTGAACTCAGTGGAAAATCTTCCTTCTTCGGTGAGACTAAGGGTAGGAAAAGAAGAGGGTCTTGAATCATAACACATAAAGACGAATTTGATATATAAACCAGAAAAAAATAAAATTAAAAATTAAAGTTTACCTTGGCAACTCTGTAGGCCAGCAGCAATTTCAGCTTCTGTCAGGATACCAGCAAGAGCCATGCTACTGTAAAATGATAAATAACGTTAGGTAGAGTTCACAATTATCTTGTTCACATTGATCTTGCTCTATCAGCCTTTGATGCTGCCTCGTGGGCAGCCAGGTTTGATTAGTGGGACACTTGGAATGTAGGTCCCAGCGCAAGCCAAGGGAGCTGCCCTGCAGGAGCAGACTATTCCATCCGC